AATTTTGTACTGATTCTAGATTAATATTAGACCAACCATCAGAAACCATACAAAGAGTCTTTGCTTTGGAAATTTGTTCATCAGTTTGTAATTTTACTTCATCGTAAACATCATTTAATAAATCTCCAGCAAGTTTTCTCCTATTTGGCAACTTGAAGGATGGCAGAAGACATTTAAAAAATTGAATGACAAGCAGATTTTCAACAAAGGCAAATGGTACTCCAGCTGAAAATAATGCTTGTGCTAGTTGAAATTCAAGGTCGTCTTGTTCTTCTTCGCTTATACGATCAACAAAATTCTCAATCTTAGATGTTTTAGTTATTTTAATTCGTTTTACAGGTATATTTGTATGAGTAGTATTTGGAGTAATAGTTGGAGTGTGAATAGTGCTAGTTGTGGAACCTTGTAAATTAATATTTTTTTTAGACTTTGCATTATCCGGTGCTCCTAGACATTCTTTATCAAGATGATTTTGCATTCGTGCAGGAACAGCTCTATTCAAAACTTTAGAACAATAATTACATTGTACAGTAGGATGGGAGTTGTTTTTATTACTTTCTGTTTGGTTTTGTGTAATAATAGTCCAATGTTTCCAAACAGCACCTTTTTTTTAGTCATTGTTAAATTGAAAAATAAAAAAAAATTATTGAAAAAAAGATCGATAAAAATCAGAAAATCGGTCACGTGACTGTGATCACTTCTTTTAATTGGCTAATTTATAATTAACCAAATTAACCGTTAATTAACCAAATTTGCTTAATTATAATTAACCATAGTTAATTAACCCCATCCCTAGCTATAGATCGTCTTGATTGGATTAGTAGATAGCGAGATATTCTTAAATTACTATAATTATTCAAATTTAAGAGCGTAAACTTTTGTAATATTACGTTTTTAGTGTAATATTTCGAAATTTTACACCACCTTCGAAATATTATACTAAATTACGCCTAAACAAATTTCCTGATGAAGTTTATATTAAACTGAATATTACGTAATATGTGTAACTCCCCTTATGTAAAGTACTAATAAAATGCAGTTTTGAAAATTTTTTATTACAAACAAATTTTAGCAATAAAATCCAAAAAATTTTTTTTTAAAAAAATTACATTTAATTTATATTATGATAATTCAGGTTGACATTATCGCAATACATGAAGTTAGTCTAAATTATCATAAGTTCTAGTTACCAATATACTTTTCATCAAAATGACAAAATACTAATTAAATTTATTTTGATAGACGTAATGTATTTTGACAGACATAATTAATTCATAATAATTTTATAATAAATAGTGAATTAGTCCATTTTCCAAAATTAATTAGTGAGAAGTATAGTTACCATATTTTATTTCAAATTTAAACTGATTATATGAAAATCATATAATTTCAAATGCTTATAACTTTTTACATAGATTTTCTTTTAAAAATCTGACTGGTAATTTGATAGAGCTTATCTTAAAGAATAAAATTACCAGTTTATTTTTCTAGATTGTATTTTTTTAAAGAAGTTGAAAGATTTTTAAGTATTACATTTTTATTGTCAAATATAGATTTCCAGTACTATATATATTAAAAGATTTAGTACTAGCATAATTCAGTTATCTTTACTATTTATTACCTTTAACTTTTTCTATAAATTATACTATTAGCCAATTAATTTATTTTTTAAAAAGTTATAAATTAAAGTCATAAATTTTTTAACATTCAGTAATTTAATTTCAATAAACTTTTTTTTTTATTTCATAATTTTTTTACAATTTAAAAAAAAAGGTTATTAAATTGAATTATTGAATATTAAAATATTTGTAAAAATCTATTATAACTATATGTTTAAAATCCTGTAATTTTTTTAAATATTATATTTAGCCAGAATTTTAATATACTTATAATTTTAATTAAATTTAATTTTAGCCAAATTTAAAAATTTCTATATAATTATCTTTTTATATAATTACTAATTTTAGTAAAATCAATTAAATAATTATATAAAAGTATATTAAAACTTTTATTTTTTATATTAATATTTATTATTAAATTATAATAAAAAGAAAAAAATCACTATTTAAAAACTATTTAAAATTATATAATTAATATTAAGTAATATTTAATTAGTTGTTATCAATAAGAAAAGTAGCTGGTAAATATTATATATAAATTTTTTTTATATTTTATAATTTATATATTATATAATAATAAATTATTTATTTATTATATTAGATAATTTGTAAAAAAAAAAAATATAAAATATTTTTTTAAAAAAATTTTATCTTTATAAAAAGTAATATTTTATTAATAAAATAAATTTTATAAAATATCTTACTCAATTTGCAAATATTCTGATAAGTTTAAAATAAAGAGTATTGCTAAATATCACTATTAATAATTGTTATTTTATCAGAATTAAAATAGAATTTTGGGCAAAATTAAAAATGTTATAAAACTTTATTTATTAATATTTGCTAATACTAGTATGGTGAAAAATGAAAATCATCTGCAATGAGATTTAGAATATACTCTAAAATAAATTATAAAAAAAAATAAATTTATTATAAAATAAAATTTATTATAAATTTAAAAAAAAAATTTTATTATTTTTAAAATAGATGATTATATATAGAGTATTTAAATATAGGTTTTCAAAAAAGTAAATTTTCTATGCTGATTATTTAGTGTTGAATAGAATTAATTTAATGAAAAAACAGGAAAATAATTGCCCCACTATTGAAGTAGATTCTTCTGATAGTTTAGTTCATTTTTTTATTTTACTTTTTCATTTTTGATTTGTTTATAAAATTTGTATTCGCTAACTATTACTGTTAAATAAAAATAAAAAAATAAAAATAAAAAAACAGGAAAAAAAAAATTTATTAAATAAATCAAAATTGACATTTAAAATTAATTTTAATGCTTTAGATAAACTTGCAAAACAGGCAAAAATACATATATTGCATATTTTTTTAAAAATTATATTTATTAAAAATTCTTTTTATATAACTTTTTAATAAAGTTATATAATATATTTATAAATACATACTTTGCTATTAAAATTAATATATATTTATATAAATTTAAATTATAATTAATTAAAATTTTAATTAATTTATACAAATTTAAATTACCAGATTAAAAAGTATTTTCTATAAATTTATAGAAATTTCTATATAAGTTAGTTATATTAGTAGATTCAATATTTTTTATAAATAAATTATATCAAATCAAATTATTAAATTTATTAGAAATAAATAATCAAATTTAAAAATCAAATTTTAAAAAATAAGTAATTATGATTTAATAAAAATAATCTTTTGTTTTTATAATTATATTTTAAAAGATATGATTACTGAACTGAAGTTTTTTTATATAAATGATATTACTTTTTTTTGAATATTTATTATTATTGGATTAAATAATAGGAAATTATTTATTTGTCAGTTTAAAAATAAAAACAATTAGAAAAATGGAATTAGTTAACAAAAAAACAAATAAAATAAAGAAAAAAAAGCCAATTTTGCTAAAACCTATATAACCTATATATAATACCAGCTAGAATTACAATAATGTAACCAATAAAATTTATCTATCAGATAATTTATTTGAAATAGGTATTAATATATAACTAAATCTTTATTGTTTACACAAATTAAAATGAAAGTAATTCATCATGATTAATTAAATCTTAAATTGATTCTCAAGACAATAATATTACAGTAATACCATCCTTTGTAAGTGTACACTCTTCTTATACATACATTATAGCTTGGTTCCAAGTTTGGGACTTAGAGTTAAGTGCACTCCCTCTAGTATATTCTGCGTGTGCAAGCAATTCTTATATTGAACACCCCCATAAAAGGACCCAGAAATATATATATAAGGGTCAGGTGGCGAAAAATTTTCTTACTATGAGCTGTACGCAGAGACTTTTTATATAAGTAGTACGCATAATTGACACCTGATATTGAAAATCCTGTAAAAATACGCAAATAAAATTTTCAGACATTAAGTTATTAATTATTTTATTATGACTTCTATATTATTTATATATAAAACCAAATACTAATGTGAAAAAATAGTATTTATTCTAATTAGAAATTTCTTTCAATTAATGTTAAATATTCCAATGCGGTTTAAATATATTATATATATATAAGATTAGCCAAGTTTAGGCCAAAAATACGCAAACTAATATTTGCATACAAAAATTTTGATATAAAATACGCAATCTTTGATGACCTAATGGATGAAAAATTCTTTAAATTGTACGCAAATCAAAACTTTACTCCGTCTAATTCCACTATGATGGCATCTGTGATACCCTACCTATGTATATATATTTCTGGGTCCTCCCGTAAATGCTACATGACTTCAATGTTTTGTTACTATTAAAAAATACGTAAATTTGTATTAACCATTAAAAGTTATTTTTATGATTAGAAAATTTAAAATTTATCAGATCCTTTAAGTGCACACCCCTCCCTAAGTGCACACGCCCCCTTGTCGTTTTTTTTTATCTCGTTTACTTCAATTTAAAATAACAGGCATTGTTTCAATTATTTCTATTTGGAGTAGTTGCGTAACTGCTTTTAGAATGCAGGATTTTTAACAGTCTAGAATTCGATCCGATCAACAATTACAATGAAAAACTTATAACACGATTTTAACTCCACGATCATGACTTACATGAATGAATTAATCGATCAGAATGTACGAACAGGTTATGTTGAATCACATGAAATTATATTCAGGATATTCGATATTCTTATTAGTATTATAATCAAGGTAAGTTTTTTATCGGAATTATGATTCAAGATTATCAAGATTACTCGATCATTCCCCTTAAAATTTTATTCTCCACATTAATGATAAAATTGCCTATTGCCCATTTACTTCCATATATAGACCATTTTATTTTTCAGAAAAAAAAATAGAAATTTAATAAATTGGGTAATCTATCATTTTTTTTTTTTTTATCTCGTTTTTTATTTTTTTTATTTCACTAGAAAAAATTTCTCTCATTGACTTTACGAAAAAATATTCTTAACTTTGACTAAGAAAATCAAAATCACAAAATGAATAGTCAAACTGAATCTATGATCATTAAAGCTAGACACACCAGTCACGGAGAAACCAAAGCTCGTAAAATTTATGCCGACAAAAATATTAAATTAGAAGAATTAGAATATAAGGTAAAAATAAGATGAATTAATCTTCTTTACTTCGGAAATTCCAAAAGTGTATATTAAAACCAATTATCCTTAATTTTATTTAGATACGTGAACGTTTCGATATAAGTTACGAAAAAGGAATTGAAATTTTTTACCTTGATGAAGAAAATGATCGCGTTATCGTTTCTTTTGAAGATGAATTGATGCTAGCATTGAGAAATAGTAAAATTCCTGTATTTGAAATCATCGTTAAGCCAAAGGTAAAAATTAAATTTTTAATTTTTAAAGATTTTTTTGTAAAAAAAAAAAGAGGATTGTTCTTATTCATATTTTCTTTTTCTTAGACCGTTGATAATGAGTGCATTTATCCTCAAGTTCCAAAAGGTAAACCTGGTGATTGTGTAGAAGTTTTAGTAGAATCACAATATCTCACACTTCCAAACGCAATGAGAGATGATACGAAAGCTTGGGGGACTTATTCTTACACTAACGATTCAGATATCGTTAAGGTTCTTGCTCACTCGGAAAAAGTCGACTTACCTGATGATCCACCTCCCTACAATGTAATTGCAACTTTACGTTTGTTACCCGGAAATCTTAAATATATTGGAACTACTATTCATGGAATAACTACATTGAATTACGGCCCATATGATTTAAGTTATATTATTGAAAGTATTAGGCTTGTACCTATTAGTGAAAAATCTTATTTTAACATTAGTTCATAAAGTAAAAATTAGTATAAATAATTAATTTTATTTAATTAATTCATAATTTTAATAATTTTACCGTATTTTCGTATATCTATTATCAATTTAATAAACTATTATTTAATAGCGTGATTCTATTTCTAAATATAATTTGTTACATATTTGTTTACCCCCCGTTATGAGTGATCTGATCGAGCTGATCAAAATTCGCGTGATAAAAAAAAAAATAAATCATATGGAAATATAAAAACGTCTTCTTTTTGTTTAGTGTGAGTAAAAAAAGTAAATTGCAATCCCTTTCGATCATGAGAAAAATAAGATCATCACTATAATGAATCTTATTCTATCGCCATTTTGCTTCTATTTAAGGTTTATTAGAACGTGGGGCTAGCATATCATTTGTAAATCTGTGAATGAATACACATGGTTTTAGCTTTATAATAATAAAAAATATTCAAATACATAAAGTTTTGGCTTTTCTCTCTTTTTTTTTTTTATTCGGGCTTCCACCAATAAACAAATTCTTTTTCTTATTTTCGTTGCGATATTACGAAATGTCACCAAAAATTAAACGGACAAATGAACTTGTTTCAGTCGCACCTCGTTCAAAATATAGTAGAAAAGTATTTTTCGAATATTCTCCAGAAGAAACATCTTTTCAGTTAGGGTATTTAGGACCAGATAAATCAACAATAGAAGGAACACTACGTTTAAGATACACTGACGACAAACCAATATTTGCAAAGAAAATCACACTCTCTTTTGTAGGAAAAGAATTTGTTCGGTTTGCGGGTATATTAGAAAAAGGTCAAGATATTCTTAGAGAGGATGACGAAAGTGAAGTCTATGATGAACAAGCTTCAACAACAAAGATAACCACACATAAAGCTAAACGTGAATTTTTTGCTAGTAAAATAATTATTTGGAGATCACAAAGTAAAGGTCATTATGAAGGTGTAAAACATCTTGACCTACCTTTCAAATTCAAATTACCAGATAATATTCCTCCTTCAACCATAATGGATGAAGGGAGCGGAAGGATTTATTATACACTTAAAGCTGTTATTTCAAGACGGTCAATTGATCCTAATTCTCGTAATACAAAAAAAATAATCAAATATTTGGTTCCTGTCGTTCGTTATACAATCACACCAGAACCAAAATCTATTCATTGGATTAAAAAAGAAGGAGGTCCAACTAAACAGTATGTTTTGGATCACGATGTGTCCGTAGCACGTTCAATTTTCGGACCAGGGGAATTCGTTGTTCTCCCTATAAAATTAACTTTTAACGAACCTCAAGTCTATCTAAAAAAAATATTTGTAGGATTAAAAGAATATCACGAATTACGAACAGATAAATATGAAACATTAACAAAAAGATACGTTGTTAAGGAAATTGTAGAAGCAGATACAATTCCAATTTCACAAGGCCCTGATAATGAGTGTTTTGTAGAAGTTAAGTTAAATATGCCTAACGAAAGAAAATTACTTTATGATATAGACACAACATATATTACAGTTTCCCATAAATTAAAAATCAAAATTTGTCTTGGTAAAGCTCCTGATTTAAACCTTTCAAATTTTGTTAGAATTGAAAAGTTAGTTAGCGAAGAAGAAGTTTTCCCACCAACTCCACCTACTATTTCTCAAGAGGTTGTTGTGGCTCATGAACCCATTGTGGTTAAACCCAAACGAGATTCCTATAGAAGATTATCACCTTTCTTCCCATTGTTTAATAAAATTCAAAATGGCAAAAAGAGGATTTCGTTACAATTTCAACCGATTCAAATACATGTTACTGATTCAGAAAATCCAAATGTAATTTATAATTCGAGATCTTTATTTATACCTCAACTTCAATTCAAAAGCTATCAACAAAGTAACATTAATAGCATTAATTCTCTCACCCAAGCCTATTAATTTTGTTCTTTAATTTACTTGTGATCGATTCACACTACGAATGAATTATGAAAAGTTTCTCAAACTTTAAATGATGAATTTTTTTTTTTAATGTACATTAATTTTATTTTGTTTCTCTTTAAATTCATTATTTTCTCCTTTTATTTTTTCCTTTATCTCTTTATCCCTAATTAATCTTTATTTTACATCCATGTAAATTCTTGGAATTTTTAATTTTTTATTAAAAAACTGTGTAATCATTGTTTTTTTTTAAAATTACAATAGATTATATTGTAGGATTGTTCTTTTTTTTTAATGATTACTGTATTAACTTTTGTTCTTTAAATAAAAACAATGACTTTATCTCTTATGATTGTGGTTCAGAAATTAAAAATGATTATGCAAAAATATCATTACAATAATTAAAGCGAATATTCCAGCCGAAAACATTTGAAAGCTTAACCTGATTGGACGATTTGATTTCTTGGGAAATATAACTGATTTTACGCAACCGACAATAGCATGTAATGTTTTTTACCACAAAATTTTTAAACATATAATTTATTTATTAAAACAATTACAAAATACGAAAAATATGGTACATTTTTTTTTTAAAAAAGGGGGAATTATTGTTATTACTATTTACTATCAGCTATAGATTGTTAAAACAATTCAAATCAATACATTGTTTTGTTTATGGAAATTATTAACGATGATGACTACTCATATCTCAGGAATCATTGATTAAAATTTCAAATCAAATATCAATTTCATATAATCAATTACACAAAAAAAAAATATTTACTTTTGCCGGAAGGTCCAAAGGTGATTAAAATTCCTAAAATTTCGGGGTATAAAAGAGAAAACTACGGGATAATATTAAGTAAATAATATTATAAATATAAAATATTTTAACGATAATTACGTTTTTTTTAAGATTATGGCACAAAAAATTATTTGAGATTAGCAAGCGGATGATGTACATCATTCGAGTTTTCAGATGTAAAATAAGGATATAATTTACATAAAGTTATGAAAGTAAACTATATATAGAAAACACTGCTGAAAATTATAAGATCGCGGCTAAAATGGTATTTAGAAATTTAACCGTCTCATATTATACCTCCTTGTCTCTCAACCTTTTTACTTTAAGATTACCATTATTTTCTTGATTATTATTAGTCTTTTGCTTTTCAACCTCTCTATCCAGACCAATTATAGTATTATGGGAAAACTTTGTTTTTTATTTTATTTATAGCACATGATTGTCGACATGTATGACATATAATGAGTCACGAATAGATTTCACATGAAAAAAATTTTTCAGTCCTATATAATAGAGATTAATTGAGGAATTTTAAAATATTGACTTTATATCGAACCAATCGGTAAAACCGAAAAAAATTTACCGAAAATGATCACCATTTATAAAGTAAAATATGTTCTTGATTGATAAAGTATGAGCCAATGATGATGCTTTATAGCAACCTACTTTTAAGGGATACGATGCATTCATGAGTAGAAAAAACAGTCAGTTAAAGAAAAGTTATTTAAGGACATTTCAAAACATTTAAATCATTCATCTTTACATTTCTTATATCGTATTTTTATTAGTTTATATATAATAATTAAATGAATCTTTTGTTCATATAAAAGAAATTTTTTTAAGTCCTATAATGACCATTAATCGTAATATATTCGTGACTATAATCACAAGTCCACATTTTAGCTTCTTCATTCCCAATTCCCAAATCTACATTAATTTCTAAATCTTCCATTGCCAAAATTTCACTAGCCCTTTCTTCATTAACATTTTCAGGTTCACCTAAATTTAATAAACGTAAAGGAGTTGTACCATCTGTTGGTATAAATGATACAGAAACTTTGTTTGGTATAATAGATGAAACCCCAGCATATCCTACAGCACATAATATACGCCCCCAATTTGCATCTTGTCCGTATAAAGCAGTTTTTACTAATGAAGAAGTGGAAATGGTAGATGCTATTTGTTTTGCGTCTGTATATGTTTTTGCGCCCTATGTAATATTATAATTTTAGTAATTTAAAAGTAAAATTTAAGGTCTTTTTACTAAAAATTGAAAATAAATATTTACCTTAACATGGATTGTCACAAATTTTGTAGCGCCTTCACCATCTCTTACAACTAATTTGGCCAAATCAGCTGCAAATTCTGTAAGATCATCTCTAAATTGTTTGAAATCTTTTCCGTTTATATCATCAATAGTTACTTTTCCGTCTGTTGTAGCTGCTCCATTAGCGAATACGGCAAAAGTATCATTTGTACTCATATCGTTATCTATACTAATAGAATTAAATGATCTATCGACAGCATATTTTAATGCTTCATTTAATGCTTTGGGACTTATAGAAACATCAGTAACGACAGTAGCTAATAAAGTGGCCATATTTGGGTGAATCATCCCTGCACCTTTAGTAGTTCCTGCCATATTATATTTTAATCCTGAAGATGGTAAAATAAATTGTTTTGATCTTAATTTTGGAAAAGTATCAGTTGTCATGATGGATTCCGCAGCTTTCATCCATCCTTCATGTAATTCTTCAGCAGTTTGTTGTTTAGCTAAATTATAAGCTTGATTTATGCCACTAATAATTTTTTCTATAGGTAAATGTTGTCCAATTACACCTGTTGACATTACTAAAGAGCTTTCTTCTACACCATTTAATTTTGATACTGTATCACCCATACTTTTAGCATTTTCTAAACCTTTTGTACCTGTTACGGCATTGGCAACTCCCGCATTTATTACCAATGAATAAATATTTTGTCCTTTCTTTTTTTCTAATATTTCTCTTGAAACTAATACTGGTGCTGCTTTAAATACATTTGTTGTAAATACAGCTGATGATGTACATGGTTTTTCTGAGATTATTAATGCTAAATCTTTTAATCCATTCTTTTTTATACCACAATGTGTTCCTGTTGCTTTAAACCCTTTTGGATATGTACCACTAGATGGTACCAAATGTTTTTTTGAATCCGGAATTTGTGAACTAATTTTACGAATTTGATGATGAATTTTAGGTAAATTTTTTGTCAAATTTATAATTCGATATAAATGAGCCATTTTTTTTTTTGCTTTCCTTTTTTTTTTTTTTTAAAAAAAAAAAAAAAAAAAAAAAAAAAAAAAGAAAAAAAAAAACAAATTATTTTGACGAAATCAAAAATGGTTGAAAACTAATCATTTTTATAAAGAAAATAAATAATCTATAGATGCTATTTATAATTTATAATGTTTCATTTACATTAGATAAAAAAGCAATCGGATCTTAAAGTAAAAAAAAAAGTAAAAAAGATCATCTGACTGATTATCATTATCATCAATTTTTCGAGAAATTTTAACGAGATAAGTATTTATTTTTAATATATTCTACGTTTATTGATTAAATATTTGTTAAAAAAATAATTTTTTTTTACACTTTTATATGAACAAAAAATTCAATTGAATTATGATATATTATTACTCATACATACATATATTATAATACATATATATTTATATATTTTATATATATTTATATAAATTTTCAAATTTTAGAAATTAAGATATATTTGTATAAATCTATTCCTTAAATAAAAGAATATGTACGATTAGGTATTGTAATGCAAGTGATTGGCTATATATATATATTTATATGATAATAATGATGTAAAAATAATTATGTAATTTGATAATCCTAATAACACCGTATCACCTATTTTTATAAGGCGAGTTACAAAACGGAATGTCCGGGAACGGGCCCATGAAAATACATTACTTATGATAAATTTTTACAACAAATTCTTCTCACGTTCTCACGTTCTCACGTCATTCCCCATTTTTTCTTATTTTTCACACATGAAACTTGAAAAAAACGTGTTTGATATTTCTAATTTTTAAGCCTCCTTAAAAATTTAGAACCTTATTTTTCGACTCTAAATTCTTTCTTTTTTCCTATCTTTTAAAAAAATGATTCCTTTATAAAATTACTAAATTAACGCTCAGTTAAAGTATCTTTTTTTATCTTACAGACCTAATGCCGTAAATAACTACTCATTGATAATCAATAAAGGGATGCTATTACCTTAATCAGTAAAGAACAAAATTTTCGAAGAAAATTGCATAAATTGCATAATTTGTGGCACTGGGATTTATACTTCCACAATGGGAAAGATAAGATGATTTAGATAAGATATCAGATCATATAACAACTGACATCATGTAAGGACGTGACAAAAAATCTCCAATTACAGTAATTTTTACCTATACAAACAATTACCAATGTCTCCAATGTCTATTATAAGATCACCCCATTCCCACAAAGTAATGGTATATAAATAAGCTCAGATTTTTTTTGACCCTGAAAAAACTTCATAAACTATCAAAAAAAATTTATTTATAAAAATTTTACATTATGTCAGACCAAAATTTTACAAAGTTAAGGCTACCAAGTTATGGTACTATGAATTCAAAAGGAGAAATTGTAATTCCTAGTGGAAGAAATAGTCAACAACATTTATCAACAACTTCACAAGATTTACCTTTCGAAGAAAGAGCAGCACAACATGAAGGTTACATTTCATTACCAGGTTTTTCAGATGAAGATGATGATGAAGAAGAAAGAGATTATAATACGTTATTAAATGAATACTTAATTTCCACTCCATTTATTCTTTTAGCACTATTTTCATTTATTATATTATTACACACTTTTTCGGAGGTTGCTGTACTATATAAATGGGACATTTTCTTATTAGGAGTAACAGGATGGTGTGCTGTATTTCTCATACGAAAACCACTATTTTTCATTTTTTCAAAATTAATAAGTTTAAAAGTATCAATAAGCTCAGTTTTAACGTTACTTTTTATTGGTTTTATTGAAGAAGTTGTTAGAATGGGTTGGCTATATCGTTTTGAAGATGAAAGTGAACCATTTCTGATAGCATACTGGTTAGGTTTGGGATGGGCATCTGCTGAAGCTGTATATTTTATTATACAAAATTTTATAGAATTAAGATGGTATAAAGATGATTTAGTAGATGGAGGTAGATACTCTGAAGAAAGAGAAGAATTAGAAGAAATTTTGGGAAGACCTTTAACAAAAGTTTCTGCTTGGTGGGGTGTAATGTGGAGATTTTCTTGGGTAATGATTCATATTGGTTTTAGTTGTTGGATTGCTTTCTCTTATACGCTTATTTTTCCTGCTGCTTTTATTCACGGCTTACTTCTTGTTATTTGGGGGTATTGTTTACCCGTATTTGGAATTCCTGCCACAAGTTATGGCACTCTGCTCGTTACCATAAGCGTTTTCTTAATTGGTTTAGCATTATTTAAGCAAATCGTATAGCCAAGGCTAAGGGAAAATCTATGGGGGGATAAAAGTTAAGGGAAAAGGGGGGTAATTACATTTATATATATTAATTTTTAATAGATTTAATTTTTAAACGTTTTCTTTTTTTTTGTTTTTTTTTTATTTACTAACGAAAAAAAAATTTTCATGATGCGCTAGATCGTATTATTTGAACGTAAAAAAAAAATTATATATTCCCAAAAGAATTGTACACAATGTATCTATATTAACAATAAATATTTACATGTAAACATTAAAGCTTCAATAAAAAAAAAATTTAAATATATTGCTTTAATGTTACACAAAACATTCAATTTCTTGATTGGTTAAGAGTAGCTTTTTTTCCTGATTATCAAAAAAAAAAAAAAAAAAATGAACCTTGTAAAAAGAATTTTTCGTTCAAAATGTTTTTATAAAAAGCATTTCTATCCTAAATTAAATAATTCATATCATTTTAATCATTTTATACGGAAAAGATATTTTTGTTCAACATCAATTTTAAATAATTTATCAACTAAACAATTGACATCAGTTGTATCAACTTCTACAATTGAAGATAGAGATTATTGTCCAGGATGTGGAGCAAAATTTCAAACCGAAGATTCCTTAAAACCTGGATATTTAATAAAACCTTCTTCTTCTACAGATAAAAAAAGTAATGAGAGGAGTAATGCCAAAAAGATGAGTAAACAAGAAATTGATGATGCAATAAATAAATTACCAGAAGATATAAAGAGGTTAATGTATCCTTTTGAATATTCTTCAACGTCTACACGAAAAAAAACAGAAGAAAGAATATTTTGTCAAAGATGTTATAATTTAAAATATCATAATAAATTAACAACAACATCATCATCACCATCATCGTCATCATCATCATCATCATCATCATTGTGGCAAGAAACTTTAACAATGGATAAATCATTCCTTAACTTTTTACAAAAAAAAAAAAATTCAATAATATTAACAATAATAGATATAATTGATTTTCCTGGTAGTTTAATAAAAAATTTAGATAATTTAATAGGAAAAAATAATCCAAATATATTAATAGCAAATAAGATTGATTTATTACCAAAAAATTTTGATGAAAATATGATTAAGATTTGGTTAAAAAATCATTGTTCTGAAAATGGATTAAGAAATATACATGATATTTTTTTATGTAGTGCAAAAAAGAATTGGTTAATTAAAGATTTATGTAATGAAATATCAAAAATTAAGAATTATAATGATAATATTTATTTGATAGGTAATACTAATGTTGGTAAATCTGAATTAATTAATAGTTTTTTAAGAACTTATGTTCATAATGGAAGAAAATATGAAGTTACTTCTTCTCATATTCCTGGTACTACTATTAATATGTTGGGTTTACCTTTGAATATTTTTGGTGATACTTTTGGTAAAAATATTAAAGGAATATCATTCAACAACAACAATAATAATAATCAAGGGGATCGTAGATTTTTATTTGATACCCCTGGAATTGTTAATGAAAATCAATTATTTCATTTTTTAGATCAAGAAGAAATAAAAATGATTACTCCTCAAAGGAATATTCGTCCTTTTACCTATATATTTAAGCCAGGTTAGGTGAAACAAAATCATTATTAATTAATTATACATTTTTTTTTAATCAAATTCGATAACTTATAAAAAATTATTATTTTAGGAAAATCATTGTTGTTTGGTGGATTAGGTAGAATAGATTATAAAATGGGTAAAAATCCAATTCGTATAACAGTATTCTCAGGATTAGATTCACATATAACGTCAATAGAAAAGGCAGATGAATTTTACAAACAATTATCTTTTTATGAAGAAGATCATTTTTTAAAACCTCCAATAGGATCAATAGAACGTCTTAAAAAATTTCCCGAAATAATTAAAAGTATAAAAAATTTAAAGGTGGTTAGTAATGAAAAACTATATATGAATACAAAAAAAATTAGCATTTTAGATGTAGTTTGGAGTGGTGTTGGTTGGTGTAGTATAGGTGGTGTTAAAATTGGTGAAACTGCTATATTTGATATTTGGAGTCCTGATGGAAAAGGCGTTTATGTTAGAAATGTTCCTTTGCTACCTTACGAATTTCATGGTAAAATTGAAAAAATAAAATAAATATAACGAGAGTACGTGTAAGACATCATTTTTTAATAATTAGTAATAACTGTATCTTATCAATTATTAAAAAAAAACACATTTACAAATAGGAAGTGAAAAACAGGATTATTGATATATATTATTTTACAGATATAAATGTTTTCTTAGAAAAAAAATAAAAAAAAAATGAACGATAAATAAAAAAAAATAATAAATATAAATATATAACATTACTGCACATTTAATGTGCGATATTTATTGCCCATCCATACACGCAAAAAATAAATACAATATTATTATTCTATAAACTATCTACAAATAAAATAAATAAAATAAATTATATTATTATTATTATAATTATCATTATATTATTAACTTGAATAAATTAATTTAATATTTTAATTCCGGGGAATATTTTATTTTATAATGAGGCTAGAAAATAAATAAATTAATTAAATTAGAAAAGAAATTTAGAAATTGAAAACAATCATTACAAATAAAATTAATAAAATTCTATACAAACCTTCAGAATTTAAATTAATACGAGTAAAAGGTTCTTGTGTTTCTCGTAAGATATTAGGTATAAGTAACTTAGCTTCCGCCAAAATATCTTTTGAAAAAATATCTTCTGCTTTTATATCCTTAAACTTTTTACTATCCAAGGAAAATCTGATCTCCTTAAAGGAATCATCTTTTCTGGCAAATTCTATTACAACTTTAAGATATTCGTCTTTGTTTGAATCATCATCAAATTTCAAACATAAACTTTCCAAGGGTGATCGACATTCTCTCAATAAAAATAACAATTCTTCAACGCTAACGTTAAAATCAAGTGAAAGATGATATAAATTAAGTGAAAGATTTTTTCCTATTTGTTGAAAATCTTTTATGTCTAGACATGTATCCTTATTATCATCTAAAGTTTTTAACATTAAATGTTCAATTTTACTTGTTGATAAATATTCGAGTGATTCAACAGTTTTCTGTGATATTATAGTAGCCAAATACATTATATTTGGACAATGTTCGTAAATATGTTCGAATAGACCCGGAACAACATTATTCACCGTTAACTCCCTTACGCTTGTATTTACTAAACGAAGAATTTCCAGCGTTACCGAGGTGAGTATTCCACTATGAAATATTAGTTTTTTAACTTTTAGTTGAGAAGGAGAATGTTCTACAATCTCTTCAATCTCATCTGAAATGTTTTCTTCATAACAATAAGCAAATTGCATACACTCTAAATTATTGAATTTTTTTAAAGAACTAAGACATTGTACATTAAATGGTAGATAATCAAATTCAATGTTCTTTAATGTACTCGCATTATGCGATAAAGCCTTGACAAATTCTTTAGTTTCCTCAATATCTGGTTTTAATTGTAATTGGTCATAACGGAAAAATGCAAGATTTTTCTGAGATTTAATTAATTTTCGTAAACCATCACCTGAAAGGAATTCTCTATCCTCTGCCATCTCAATATTGATATACTCAAGATTATTAGAGATATTAGATAATTTCTTTAAAAATTCGTAAAGATTATCTAATCCCCTCTCGGTCAAACAATCCAAATCAACACAAAATTCAAATTTACGAAGATTGGTGAGAGTATATTTAATACGATTGAATGTTGCAGCAGGAGGAAAATAATATTTGTCACAATGTCGACTCAATCTCAAACTCCATAGACCTTCACAACAACTCAAAAGTAATTTAAGTAGCTGCGTATATACTATTTCTTCTGGATCTTCTGGACGATATTCTTCTAATCCGAACCTATTAATCCATTCCTCAACAGCTTCATCTAATTTTTCACAATCCAATTCTCTCAAATATTTATGATAAGGAAACAAAGGTCTCGGGTGTAGATGTATATTGTATCCCGTTTCATATATTTTCTTCTTTGAATTGTTAGGAAGGCAAGTTATATATGTACGAACTAATTCAGAATATCTTCTTGTTGATTTGGGTCCGGAATACTCAAAAGGACGGCGCCATAATAAAGAAATAATAATTCTACACCAAGCACGATTTACAAACATACAATGGTAAAGTGATTTAATGTCATTTTCAAGATATTGAAATATTTCTTGAAGACAATCTAAGGGTACAGTTGAAAAACCGGTTTGCGTCGTCAAAAAATAACTCATAGTTAATAACTACAATTCTTTTAATAAGTTGTAGACTGTAAAGAATTCAACTCCAGAAACCAAATTCCAAGAAGCCAGTCCAGATTGGTTTGGTAAACAAAAAACCGTGGAGTCTGTTACCTAAAGAAATTTTTGTGTTAAAAATACAAGTTTTTTCTTTTTGTCACTTAACATTTAAATAACTTCTTACCAGTTTTATAGAAAAGTGAGCTTACGAATTCCTCCTAAGAAAAGTGTATTATGCTAAAATAGTGATATAATAAGTTAACTTTTTTTTAACGAGAGCTTTTTGAAACACTCGGAGGGTTTGAAAAAGTTTAAAAAAAAAAATCAAAAGTCTAAAAAAAAATTATTCTGTAACTTTATGTATTATTTTTATATATATAATAATAATTAATTAAGAAAGAGTGTGAAAAATTTTTTGACGTCTGCAAAAACGCACGGTCAATACCACGGTTATTAATTATAAACAAGTTCTAAAAAATGACAACAAAATGTATTTATTTATAATAGAATATGAATTGCCATTATAATTTCTGAATCTCGTGATAAATGAAACAATATATTTTAATCAATAGTATTGTGTATAATCTACATGCATAACAATATTTTTCTCAACTTCATTCAACGACGTCTTTCTTGTACAACAGTTGAATTTTCTATGCACAGAGTATGCAGTCTTCACTCATTTAGTCATCAGTTAACTCCTAACCGACGAGAATACTATTAATAGGTCCGGACCGTGGAAAATTTTACGGCAACGTGGCTTTAATTTAATACCATACTTAAAAGCCGGTTGCGTTCCGGTATTTTGCCGATCCGAAACAATTCCGATCCACTTTATATATAAATGATTTTCCGCCTCAATGTAAAAAATACAAAAAAAATTCCTTTTGTTTTAATTTTTACTTTTATTCTTTTGAAAAAAAAACAATCAAATTTATCTCATTATTCGTACAAATTGTTTTTTTTATCGAATAACAATAGAAAATATGTCAATAATAGATACGATACTTAATTCGTCATTTACAAATTTGATTATAATCGGAAGTTATATTTTTGGAGGCTGTTGCAGTAATGTTATTGCTTTGGAATTGTTAGTTGGGTAAGATTAAAAAGATTTTATATTGACAACCACCTTTCTTTTATCTAGATTTTAACTTGTAAAAAAAATAAATGCTTTATTTTGATGAAATAGATGTATTTTTTCCCCTTATTCACTCAAATTCTTTTTTTTTTTATTTCACGTGTCTTCAATAAATATAGTGTGTCTCCAAAAAGTGGTAATAATCAAAATTTAATTAATGAATTTTCAACTCTTTCTTTACCAAATTGGTTAATTGATAATTTTTAATCCAATTAGGAAATTTGTTCACACTTGCTCAATTTTTATTCATATCATGTGAGGGATTATTTCATAATCTAGAATTTCCATCCTCATCACCATTTCCACGTTTAAAAAAACGTACAGTACCAGCCCATAGATGGTTCTTTATGGTACTTCTATTTTTTACAGTATCAGTGTTAAATAACATTGCATTAGGATACAATATTTCTGTTCCTTTGCATATTATATTTCGTAGTGGAGGATTAATTGTTAGTTTGATATTAGGTTGGGCTATTGGAAAAAGGTAAGTAAATGCAAAATGTTTATTTTGGAAAAGAAAAAAAGAACCAACTTAGTAAATTTTTAATTAATTAATTAGATATTCAATTAAACAAGTAATAGCAGTAGTGATGGTCACAATGGGAGTTATCTGTGCAACAATAAGTTCCGCAAAGACAAATACCAAGGTACACAAAACTTCAAACAAAATATTTTTACTCTTTACTTTTGATAAGATGATTAAAATCTGAAAAAAAAAATTCTTCCTGAAATAATTAGGAAGGAGAAAATTCTGGAAGTATGACAGATTATGTGATCGGTATCACTCTTCTTTCTATTGCGTTAGTATTATCCAGTTTTATGGGTCTTTATCAAGAAGTGACTTACGTAAAATATGGAAGTAATTGGCGTGAAGGGTTATTTTACACAGTAAGTATTCAGGGGAAGATTTATTAAATATTATAATAATTATTAACATTATTTGTATATTTTTATAAAGCATTTTTTAGCACTTCCACTTTTCTTGATATTTTATTCAGATATCAAAGGTCAGATTCTAGAATTTAATCAATCGATTCCATTAACGTTAGATGAGATATTTAATGTATCTCCTATCAATATTTATCTATCAAGTGGAATGAATAGTGTGTTTAAAACTTGTACGGTTCCAAGATCATGGGCTTATCTCATCATGAATATACTAACTCAGTAAGTTATATTATACCTGTGAATTATTTATATTTATTAATAATCACTAATTAATGTTAACAATTTTCTTAGATATTTTTGCGTTGGAGGTGTACATAGATTAAATTCTATAGCAACAGCATTAACCTTAAATTTAGTATTAAATTTACGAAAATTCACTTCATTAGTAATTTCAGTTTGGTTATTTGATAATGATTTCCATATTGGAATGGCCATTGGAGGTTTATTAGTATTTTTTGGTACTTTGCTATATTCTTTCGGGAGTAATAAGAATTCTTCAAGTAATATGTTAAAAAAGAAAGAAGATGTTTCTGTTGATGCATCAACATTAAAGAAAAATGACATATTGATAGAGGAGGATAAGAAAAATATATGAAAGAGACGTTATATATATTAGATTAAAATAATTCTTGGATTGCTAGTTGCATCCAATGAATTGCTATAGAAAATTTTGCAGATTATTTAATTTTTTCAATTTTTTTTTCAATTTTTTCAATATTTCCAATTTGCATTCAATTTGTAACACATTAACTGCTGTATTTTATTGCTAAAATAAAAATATATAGAAGTTTTTATACATTCTTACATATTTTATGTATATATTGTCAGCCTAAAGTTACAATTAAAAAGTAGCCAAATACTACAAATTATTATTAATATTTTTCCATTATTAAGAATCTCCTTGATCGTCATTTTTAATCAACTTTTCCGCACATTTTAGTACTTCATCCATATTTACGTTATTCTGTTGTTGAAATTTACTTCCGAGCATGTTTAAAATTTGAATTGCACCAGGATTTAAAATATTCAACAAATTATTTTCAGTTGGATTAGATGGCAAAATATTAAAAGAAGGGTGCGTTGAAGTTTGTTGTTTACATGAAACAGTATTAGATTCTTGTTGATTTGCATTACTCTCATATGATGGTGGAACTGATGTAAAATTATCACTTGTAGAATAACTGATAGTATTATCTGAATCAAAAGAACGTTCGCTTAAAGTTGTTTCATGAATACTTGAAGAAGAACTTTGATCTGAATTCAAAGTAACAAAAGTGACCTTTGACTTCTTAAGGTTATCCGAAGGGATGTTCTTGTCAACATATTCATTAGGTCTCTTGTTATATTCTGCTCGAAATTTCGTAGTTTCGAGAATGATATTATTCGTGATGTTATTATTAGATGAAACAGTACGTAAGGTAACTTCTTCTTGTTTCTTAACTTTAATCAAACATTCTTCAAAATATTCCTGCTCTCTCTTATAAAATACCAAAAAATCTCGAAGTTCTTTTTCTTGGCGTTCCTTAATTTGGGCAAGTTCGACATAATATTGTCTCTTTAAAAAAAAAATTAAATAAATAATGAATATATTATTTAGAAGAACAATCTTTAGAATAAAAAAACTTACATATAATTCATCTCGCCCAATTATAGGTTCATCATCATTAATAGCAAGTTTTCTTTTAATAGCATTTGTAACATCTTCCATTGTTCCAATCTTTCCTTGTCTTTGATCAGTAATACCATGTTGAGAAGGATTCATTAATCTTCCATTTAACAAAATTTTCTCAACTTCAGGATGTAATATCATAGAGGATAAAGTATTAATAGTTGAATATTTTCTATTCGCGTAATTCAAATCTATACTTTCATAAAAGGTTTTTCGATGTTCAACAATTTCATTGGAATGAATTTGAATCAATTTTTCTAATTGAGATTCTTTCGTTTTTAATAATGAATCTAACCGTTCTTTATAAAATTTACTATCAACTTCTCTATTTAATTTATCAATTATAACTATATCCTCATATCTTAATCAAAATTGAAGTATTATTTAAAGATTTTTTATTAAAAGATCGATTTTATTATAAATTTTATACTATTTAATTATTACCTTTCATAATCGCTACACAAAATATACAAGAATCTTTCGTCCTATAATAAAAAAAAAAATCACTCGTTTTATAATAATTTTATAATTTTTTAAAAAATTCAATATTTATGATACTTACAAGAGTCTCACCAAGGTCATTATTCTTCCAATATTCAGAATTGCTATTCATTTCTTTATTAAAGAATAATAATAATAATAATTTTTTTTGATATACAGTATACAGTATTAGAACATAATTAAACCACTCTTTTTGTTAGTGGAAATTAATCATTTTAGCAAATAATTATTTATTTAAATTAATGGTGTACTGATGTCATTATGTAAAGAGAAAGTGATTCATATATAATTAATAACATTTAACGTAGCCCATAATTTATAAAGATCATCAACCAATAAGGTTTATTTGAAAATCACATAAATTACTTTTAATGGTTTTAACAAATATGGATTGAATCTCACAAATTTGACCAAATATGGTTTAACAAAAATGCATTGAATGAAGTATTATAAAATGAGGAAATATATGAAGTTATATGAAGTATTAAAAATTACAAATTACAAATTAAAATTACAAATTATAATAAAAAAAAGGGTTACCATTTATAATCAATTTTTTTGTTCTTAATATTGAACAGATTTAACAAATAAACTGGACTAAAACTAATAAGTTTTACTCTAAAAGTTAAAGGTTCGTATGGTATATATTGAAAAGCAAGATCCAACTCTATTACACCATTAGCCTTAACGATCGGCCCATCAAACTTAAAAGATCTCATAGAAAAACTTGCAATTTCTTCCTTTCTCACGAAATCATTTTTTCCAATCTTATAAAATAAATAAAATTGTAATAATTTATAACTATCTACAAACAAATATTTCTCTAATTTGTCATCTATTCGGGGGGAAAATTCAGCTTTGCATCTATTGGATAAGCCACCTCGTTCTAATGGAAGTTCCATATTAACTATTTCGCCTGAATTAGTTTGACATCTCATAAAAAGTGTTAATTCAGGAGAACACTTTGTTATTTCATCAATTATTATGTTACTTATTGTGGTGTTCCAACCGCGACATACTTGTCTAAGTGATGAAATGGGGGTATCTGTAATCACATAACATAATATTTGTTTCAATACGCGAACTGGAATGCTATGAATGGTTATTACAGGTTTCAGCGAGGACTTGCGTCTTTCCCTTATAGGCCATCTATATAATTTACAAAACACTAAGCACTAAAGTTTTTTTTTTCGATAAAATGAAACAGTTTATTTTGCATATTAAAATAAAAAAATATACGAACTCGTTACGTGGCTTAAACGGCCAATTCAATTTAAATGGATTTCTGAAAAGACTATTAGCGGTTTGCATCGATGTTATTGGTGTTTTTATTCACAACTTTATAATATCGTCTTTATTTACTCTCGGAGTTTATTTTGCAAGATATTAGTAAGCTTACTTTTTTAATAACAGTTACACAATTAAGATATGTAAAACTTCTCAAATATTAAAAGTTCGATTCGTGTAAGTTAAAAACGTAATGAGTTCAGAAATAAAGAAATTTTTTTTTTTTTTAAAAAAAAAAGGAAAGGGAAAATGTATAATTATAAAGTAAAAATATAAACTAATCTTTTTTCGGTCTTATTATATACTTTATTTAATGTTTCACCCACAATAACATCGATGACATCATGATCACAATGAGAATCAATGATCAAACTAATCTACAAGGAATTTGATTTACCCGCATTATAACAATATGTCGATTAGTAATTAATCGAATATATATACTGTATTTAATACTTTCGATGATTGTAAATAGTATTGAAAGTCCATTTCATCTTATGACATATCGAAATACATAATATAGCTTCTTTTTAAGTATATTAAATGTATTATTCCTCAGTTTTTTTTTTAAAAAAATATGTAATATGAATTTTAACAATTCATGATCTAAACCGAACCTAATTTCCTGGTATGTATATTTATGATTTATATGTTTCTCTTACATGGAACCTTTAGATCTTTATCCAACAAATCCAAAAATCGGTACGCGTAAACTGAAAATCATTGTACCTACAAAGTAAATACTTACAGGGTAATACTTACAAAGGTAATACTTACAAGGTAATACTTACAAAGGTAATATTTACAAAGGTAATACTAACAAGGGTAATACTTACAAAGGTAATACTTACAAGGGTAGTACTTACAAAGGTAATTAAGCCAAAGCACATGGTTTTTTAGAAAAAGATTTAATTAAAGAAAATAAATATAGAAAGTTTTCGACAACTTGGGTAAATTTCGGAAGTTACGGAACTGACCGAAATTAAAACTTTATAAAGAAGGATCGTTAAATCTCTTATGATTTAATTTTATCCATAACATCATTAATTTCCAATACCGCGTTCTCAGATAAAATCGGCGAAATTTTCACATGTTAAAAAAACAATCTTTCAAATTTTAATCTGGAATGGGGTGAAATATTTCCTTATCCAATTAGAATGTGGACCATTATCGTCTGGTACATTACAAATTTACAATGTAACGATAAAATTACCGGTTTGTTATTTATAGTCCTTAATAATCTGAACGATAAGTCAATGATATATTAAAGAAAAAAAAAATTTAGGTTTATTATATATAAATTTTAATAAAATAATAAAATAAATAAACATCGAGATATTGTGTAACGGTCTCCGTGGGAGGAGAAAGAAAATATTGCATGTATGATCTTTCACGTGCACGGAGTATTAATTTATTAAATTTCCGGTGATTACAACTATCTGCTATGTTATCTTATTTTTGTTTGTTACAAAGTTGAATGGATGTCCATCATAGAATTCTCGAAAGAGCGAGTTGAAAGACTTATTTGTATGACTAATTTTTTAAAAATTTCATGTTCCATCCAAAAATGGAATAAGTTAATAAATAGAAAATTCATGTTTTTTTTCACAGCTACGCAGCAGTTGCATATTCAGTTCTATTAGTCTTATCAATGAATATATTATAATACATTATGTATACAAATTTGTTGTAGTTTCGTAGATCACATAACATTTTCGTGTAATTTTTTATTTATAATAAGAAACTCATTTGAGTAATAATATTCTAAGTTCTTTTTATAATGCAATTTCAACCCTTTTTAAATTGTTTTCATACTAAATTATCTTCGAAATCACGTTAAGAAAGTTAAAAGAATTGAAAAATAATCCTTTTGACTTTTTCTTGGGGGTGTAATAATAATAAACCAAAGTTCTCTTACCAATAATTTTTTAACGAGTAAAATAAATGTATAAAAAAAGTACATTTATATAATTCATAGATATATTATAATGTATAAATTTAACAAATCCATCATCCTCATTTTAATTTTTTTATTATTACATATCTTATTAATTTCTTCTCAGTCAACGACTAATGAATCTCAAATTAACAATCGTTCATGTAATTTAGATTCAGATTGTGTTAATAATCCAAAGAATGAAACATCATCTAATATAAGATCTGGTGATTTTATGTGTATAAATAATAGTTGTAAATTTGTCGTCGCTGCTGGTAAGCATTTTTCTCAAGTCTTTTTTTTTATTATGTTCCTTGTCCTTCTAATTCTTTTCTTTTTATATATATAGGTCAAAATTGTAGAGATGTAACAGATTGTGTAGCATATCATTATTCACATTTACGTAACATTTCTTTGGATTCAGATATTTGTAGTCCAAAAAATTGTAATTTTGCTTCAAAATGTGATAGAGCATGGGATCAAAAAGATATTTTTTCTATACCTAAAATTGAAGATCAATCAACTTGTTGTATTGGACTTGATGATGGGATGGAATGTGAAATTGTAGCAAATGATGTTGACCCATGTAATTCAAATTGTAATTATTATGATGATACTAATAGTAAAAAGTGTGGTAATAAAAATCAAAAGAATTATATTTGGATTGGGGTTGTAATATGTTTAATAGGAAGTGCAACTTTAAATATTGGATTAAATGTACAGAAATATGCTTTTACTAAACATCAACGAGAATTAGATCGGGAATGTCATTCTGCGGCAAATTACGATCAGAATAAACAGCAAATAGTGACTGATGATAATAATTCCACACATAGTAAACAACATTCTACTCTTTATAAAAAATTGGAAAAATTCATGTTCTGGAAGCAAATTATCGTATCACCAGTAAGTTTTAAGCGCGAGATTGTTTTAGTTATATAAATTATTGAGAAAAAAATAAATGGTTTTTTATAAAAAAAATAAACTCAATCATAATATCGTTATCTACTTGCAAATTTATTTATTCATTCATTTATTTTCTCTAGCTTTGGGTATGTGGTTTTATAGTTTACGTTATTGGAAGCTTTCTATCCTTCGTCGCGCTGAAATTTGCTCCACAATCGCGTAAGTTGCCTTTCTTATTTAGGTTACAATTCATTATTTTTTTTTATATAATTAATTTAATTTTTTTTCTATAAAAATAGTCATCGCTCCACTTGGTGTTGTATCTTTGGTTGTTAATTTATTAATCGCTCCAATACTCCACAATCAAAGATTAACAATGTTGGATAGTATTGGAGTTATAATCATCATAATCGGTAGTGTCATTATCACAATATTTTCTGGAGTTGTTATACAAGGTTTGTCATAAAATAATTTTTTTTTAGCTCCCATTCAAATATTAATATCATATTTTTTTTAAAAATAGATTATGAATTATGTGTTCTTATTGAATTATTTAAACGACCCCAAACGATAATTTATCTTACTGTTATTGGTGTTTTCATTTTTTCTTTATATACTTTTATACGCATTGTTGAAAAGAATGCAATTCAAAAAGATAAAGATGCAATTGCTAAAGCAAATGCTGTTGTTGCTGAACTTAGTGCAACTGAAAACACTCCAATTCCTACTATTCATAATCTATTTAATTATAGATTATCTATAAGTATTGATGAAAATAATAAAACTTTAACGGAAGATATTAATCGCACTTTATCATCAACAATTGATGAAACGAAAAAAACAAGAAGTGATGTCGCGCATAATAATAAGGATGATAGTATATTAACTGAAGAAGAAATAAAACCCTTTCCTCGAAGTTCAATCGATACGATACGTTCAACGAGATCTGTTGTCAGACAACGTAATATTAAAGAGAAAGTTCTTTTGCCACTTGCTTATGCTATATTGGCATCTAGTATGGCTACAATAACTACGCTTTTTGCAAAGGTAATAATTATTTTTTAAAAATTAATTGAAAAAAAATTTTTAATTATTTTAATAATAAATTTAACGCAATATTTTTTTTTGATAGTCACTTATTAATTTATTGAATGTCTCATTTACACAAAACGATAATCAATTTAAAGATTTATTATCGTGGGCGATATTATTTATTACTATTTTAACAGCAATTGGTCAAGTATATTGGATTAATATGGGATTAAAAAAGTATGATGCATTATTACAAGTACCAATATTTTATTGTAATTGGAGCTTATTTGATATTATAGGAGGTGGTATATATTACGATGAATTTCGTAATTTTAAAACCATTACATATGTAGGATTTATAATAGGAGTTGTTCTTATATTTTTTGGTGTATCATTATTAAGTAAAAGGTTGTCTAAACTGACTAAAGAAGAAGAAGAATTAAAAGAAATGCAGAAGAATTGGGAACAAGAAATGAAAAAGTTAAAGATGAGTAAAAGTGGAAAAAAGTAATAATGAATTAATATATTTAAATATTTATAATATTTATGTATAAATTTCTTTGTAATATTATCAATGTGCAAAAGTAATAAATATTATATATGTATATATATACATATTTTTTTTTTTATTATTAAAGTTTTAATTCAGTTACTATTGTTAATTTATTTAAATTAAATACAAATATTAAAAACATATTAACTATAAATTCCATTGTTTTTATCATCTTATGATATCTTTTTAATAATAATCATTTTGTGGAACGTATCGTGCTGGTGGGATACCATGATTTGTAAGTGGTGGTGGTTGGAACCGAGCTTGAGTAGATTCAGGTGAACGAAACCTTGAATTAAATAAATATTCTTGAGGAATTGCCCGTGGAGGTAAAGGTGATGCATTTAAATATGGAGGTATTTGATTTGGAGGTCTATATGCCATTGCAGTTGGTTCAAAACGTTCAGCAAACCTTGAATTATGATGAACATTTGATGGTGGAGTAAGTGTATTATTTTCTACATTAGGTAAAGTAGGTTGTCTCGAATTATTTGCTTTTATCTTATTTTTCTTCCTAAGATCACCTTTCGCAGCAGCTTTTCTTTGGTTTATCCTACGTTTACGAGAATTCTTTATAAGAAGTCCTTCAATCCTTTTATCAATTTTATGACAACAATATTCTTTTAAATTTCCTCTAATATGAAATAACAATGGAATATATAATATAAAAGCAACAATTAATTTTGTTGCTGAAAACGCAAAAGATAAAAATGTGAACGCCATTAATGCCATTGCAAGTCTTTCCACTGTATTATGACCGTATGCACTTAAATTCATCCAATCTCTAGTTATATTTGTTTTAATAATTGGATAAAGTGTAATAGCGCTAATGGCCTGACGAGGAGCTTCAGCAAAAATCAATCTTTTCCAACCTAAACAAAGAAAAAATAAATATAAAAAATAATTTAAATCGATTTTTTAAAATTATTAATAATTAGTTAAAGAAATAAATTTTACCTTTAAATGCAAAGAATACGAAAAAAGCAATCTTATCAACCATTTTACTTTGTCTTTTTATTCGATAAAAGAAACAAAAATGAGAATAACTTTTTAAAGCATAATACCTAGAAGTTATAGTACTAGTAAAAGCGTAACTAATATCTCTTGAAGCTATAATAGCCTTAGCCTTTCTCCAATCCAAAGCTAATAATAAAAATGATATAAAAATACATCCAACATAAATCCATTTTGAGTAAGTAAAAGGTATAGTTGGTTTTATAGAAGAACTCCAACTATCAAATATTAATAAAATTCCTGCTGTCCATAAATCTGCTACATAAACTAATACAACTTTAAATACTGTTAAATATAATATTAAGTATCTTATTCCTATAAATGTATCATGCACTTTAAAATCTTCTACGCATACAAAATCAAATTTATGATCATTAACTATTTCTCTTTTCCATTTCGCTTTTTGACAGCACATAATTTAAAAACTCTTTTATGATATTTTTTTTTTCGTAATGTAAATGGAATTTTTTATGATAAGTTCAATTATAATCCTAATCGAAGATTTTTTTTTTTTTTTTTTTTTAAAAAAAAAAAAAGTATTTCCATAAAGTTTACTTATTTGAGAGATTTATACCAAATTATTAATTTAAAAAAAGAGTTTTAATATAAAAATTTACTATCCCCTTTACCAAGTATGGTGAACATCAACAAAAGATATCCTTATTCTGTTCTTTTTAGTACTTCGGAAAAATCGGATCAGCTACTTACAGTATTCATTTTTGATTATCTTGTAAAATGATTTTAAAATTTGATATGCATGCTATCATATGTCATCATCATTCAGTGTCGTTTTATTATGAACAAGTTCATACAGACAGATTGTCTGTTTCATTACTGTGACTGTTTTATATTACTGAGACTAGCAAATTATTGGAGTCTACTATGAGATTATGAAACAGGCGATAACATTATGATTTAAACCATGCGACACTACGCTATTAAAAACTATTGTTTGGCAGTATAAATTAAAACAATTATTAAACAATGTACTTGTTATATATATATATTACGGTTTCATTATTACTCTTAACATGACTTTTTTGAATGATCAATAATGTTTATCCAATCCAAACTTTCATTTTTATCCAATCGGTATTTTGTATAACACCGGAGGATTTTTTTTTTTCAATTACTAGAAAAAGTATAAAAAAATATAAAATCTACAAAATCCATCAATGTATATGTCTGAGATAAGCATGTTATTTCACGCCCACGCGCCCACGACATCAGTGAATATTTTAGTTATTCATTGATACCCAATGGAAATAACAATAAAATCGTTAAAGTCGCGGTTACTATAAGTTCTGATTTCGCAAATACATCTTTTTATCAACAAAAACTTAATTCTGGCCAGAATTAAGTTTATTATTCAATTTGTTGTCTAATAAAATAGCTATAGCAAATAAAACAATTTATTTCAACCACTTTTTAAAAGATAGATTATCTTCGAATTCAATACTTAAACAAGGAGCGAAATTACTCAATTAATTATACTAGTTAACTTCCAATCACTTGTATTCGTTTCAATTCACTTATCTAATTAATAAATCTAATTAATAATAGCAAAAATTTATATGTGTAAATGTTGAAAATATCAAATAATTACTTTTACTTTGGTACTTGTTAGCTACTATTTTATAAATAGTTCCCACGTGGACGTCAGTACTAATTCACAGCCCATCCATTCATACAATACATCCAACCCACACACCAAAGAGAAGATCTAAAGAAAAGTGAGAAGTTTTAAAGAAAAAGAGAACTGTAAAGAAAAGAGAAAATTTTACTACTGAAGACTCTCTCTATTGTCACTTAAACAAGCGGAGGGAAACTCTTCACAGACACTACCTGTTAAATATTGAGGAGGGGCTTTTCGTAAGTTAATGATAAACCCTCACCATGGTAATGTCTTTTCTGAAAAATTATTAGACTAAAAAGTTTGAGAAATGAGAAAAGGAAAGAGGTCTTTATAAATTTATTCTCTGTAAATATAAAAAAATAAACTTTTTATTATAAACATAGACTATTATTTAATCATTATCGAAAAAATATGGGTGAGAATATGTTTTTGAAAAAAGTGTCGCGTCAAAATGTAGAATCATTTTAGATATGTATCTAGTAAAACATAGTAAATAATGGGAATTAACTATTAAGTGTTACCCTGCATGTCCTGCCTTTCCTTTTCGTTTATTAATTTGCGGTGGATTAGATAGTCAATCTCCTTCTTGATAACAAAATCCAGCATTTATGCCAGGAAAAGAAAGGAGAATAGTATATCAAGAATGATGATTTGATCTTTATCAGAAAGCATGTTCTGATATTCACGAGTTAGTGAAAAACTATTATGAAATTTTTGCGAAAGTTCCAATGCGAGTCATTTTTGGGTGATAATAAATTTGTTAATAAATTTGTTATTTATTTATTTATCTATATATTATTTTTATTTTTATATTTTCAAGATTTTTTCAATAATTTTATTTTTCGAAAGATTTTTGAATTTTTTAGTTTAATTTTTCATTATTTACCAGATTTTCTTATTGAGCGGTAAGGATAGAATATGAGTATGATATGATGGTATAATCTCTATTGTATGTATATGGGTATCCGATCAAAATCTCGACAACAAAATCTCGAGTCGAGATTCTCGACATGACAAGTCATTATATCGACAATTTCGTCATAAATCTAATGATGTGTGTTCTAATAAAATAAAATGTAATACAGTCAGAACTCGATATACCGATATTCGATATACCGATACATTATTAAAAACTTGATATACCGATAAAATTTTACATTCCCACTATATGTGAGGACATATAAATATCGGTATAATTTGATATAACGATATTTTTTAAATTTTTTCTTATGAGTCCCGACATATATAAAGGTTTGACTGTATTTAGTTTAAATGTGGTAAATTTTATAATTTTAATCATATAATGATTTGTCGGGAGTCGTTCGAATGATTTTCGAGATTTCGTACCAAAACCTGTATGTATGGTATGTGCTAAATCGGTCTAATTTTCATAATAATCGACCATACATACAACGTAGTACATACAACATAGGTCATATTATCGTTGCACCCTTGACTGATATACTTTTTACTCATATGAAATTCATATGAAGCTTTATTAATATTAACTCTCATCTTAATTGCAGGATTGATAATCTTTCCATAACTTATTATAAATGCTTTTTGCACAGACTTATTTCTGAAACTTTATCAGATTTGATTTTTTGTAATCTTATCTTGAAATGCTTTCCTATATCTTTAAAATTTTTAAAACTGTCAAATCAGAATCCTTTTACTTTAAAACGAATAGGAAAAGGATATAAAAACAATATTACTAAAAGAACTTATTTAATTGTCAATCCGGTACTATCGCGAAATTTTGATGATTGCACAATGTAAGCTATAATAAATGTGAAACTTTTTTTTACTTATCCTATTTCTTATAATTTTCTGCATATATGTTATGAATTTTATGTCATGTAATTAAGTTTTAATAACTTTAGCGTTGCAAACAACGCAAACATCTGACACGCGTACAATATAAATTCCTTTTTTTTACAATCAATTTATTCATTTTACTTAGGTTTTTTAACATATATGGTATGATTTTTACTTCGCAATTAGGGGAATGAACACATATCACGTCATTATAGGTTTACCCCTACCCCCTTTTAATAATTACGTGATATGTGTCAGTCCCCTTATAGTGTTTTGTATTTATTGCCAAAACGTTGAATTTCACCCTGATTTTTTAATATAACGATAGTGCCGATCTCGGGACAAATCCTACACATCAAAAAGACGGACTGTCCGAACCGCAGTCTTTTGGTCTACGCATCATGTGACCTAAAACGGTGGGACTCAGACGGATCAGTGATTAAATTAATAGTCTAAAAAGTAAGGTTGGATCTTAAACTGCAAAAATTTCCCATAATTATCTTAATAAAGAAGTTATTTGAACATGCATGCTATCGGAGACTTAAGCGGAAATTGCAAAACTAATAATTGTACTTTTGCTAGTATAGAAAAATTACAAAAAATTTTGAATGAGAAATTAATTGATGGAAATTACAAGAAATCTTAGACAAGTAGATTGAATCAAACAGTTCCGCTTATTTACTCCTATCACCCACTAATAGGTTTGGAATCAGAACTACCAGCTACAGCTAGTCAAAAGGATCAAGATGGCGCAAACTCGTTACCTTGCCTTGCATCAATCTTTGTATTCATCCAAATTGTACACAAAGAGGTCAGGCCTTAGACAGTTACTATTTGCTTAGGCGACGAACTTTGATATATTCTATATATAATTTATTATGAGATAAGTGGTTTCTTAATAATTTTTGTGCTATAATGCATTAAATTTACTCAATTGAAATACCAATTTTTTTATTTCTTTTTGTATCAAATTTGGATAAAAGGTAATATTACGACAAATAATATGTTTGATAGGTAAGTGGAAAATGATATATTAATAGTATACATTTTGATAATTTATTTATCAAGTATATCTGCAAATTTTCATGGATTATTAACACTTATTCGTTGAACTATAGATAGAAATAATTTTCCAATTACTTTTTGCCAAGCCATGCCAAGCACTGTATAATAACATGTTTTTGAATTCAATAATAAATAGCTTATCCAATTAACCAACATTTTTAATCAACTTGATTCAATTAGAAAAAAAAAATATAGATTTATTAGTACTACAACGTCAGAACGAAACCATACACGAAGACATCTATCCTTTGACTACTATAAATAAAACCAAATCAAATTTGCCAATATTGCTTGTTCTCAATATTGAAAATTTGAATATGTTATTGGATTATTAAATTATCCTATTAAAAAGCTCGAGATAAAAATAATTTTATATTTTTATTATACTTTGAGCTACTGTACCTAAAAAAAAATTTAACCGTGCAGATAAAATTTATTGTTTTAATTATTTTGGTTAGTAAAAGAAAACCCTAATTGGAAATTTGATTATATTGAAGTTAATTTCGCTATTGCTGTATATTTATGGACAAAAAGCGAAAATCACAATTATAATCTTTGTTTGTTACACATTTTAGTCATGATACATAACAAAGTATTTTATTCGTTACTTCAAATAAATTGATAAAAATGTTAATTAATGGTGTACTGTATGTGCGTATTAAATCAAATACCTCTTGTAAATTTTTGACTTAAGAAAACTAAAATCCGTCATTAACACAAAAAAAAATGTCGTGCTATAAGTATACAATCTTCATTGGTCGGGAAGTGAAATGCAGTTTAAAAAATTCCTACTGTATAAAATTGTTTAATAAAGATAGATATCGATAAAGAATATTGCATAAATCAATTAATTATATATTTAACAAAGATAGGATTTCTCTAAGTGCAGGGGCGAAAGAAGGAAATAATAATTCAGGGAGAACACAAATTTGTGTATAATCGCACCATAGATAGTCGAGCGATTAAGAAATTTCATCATTTTCATCAGAAGAAACTTCTATTTATAATAATGGACCTTCTCAACAAAAATTAGAAGAAATTTCCTGATAAACACATTAAATTAATATTCTCGATTCCGTCAACTGGGAGATTTTCTGTTTATCCTGTTTATCCGGAATTAATTTTTAAAATTTTATCAGGTATTTTCTATATTCTCTTATTGGCTGAACCTCCAAATGATCAGTCGTAACTCATTAAGTCCATCATCTATTTATAGGACAAAATTTATATTGCATGCACGTGATGAGATCAGACAACGACTTTTTTTATTTTTAGAACTTAAACTTGAAACAAAAATTTATTTATTGGTTTTTTTTTATAATAGTTAAAAGTTAATGATTAATTTCACTAAATTATGTCTTTTTATAAAACAGAATGAAATTAATAATAATAAATTCTCTATCTCGACTAAAATATTAGGTAAATCTTAAAAAAAGGGGGGGGGACAAAATATATAATACAAAAAAATTGACATAATATAAAATTTTTGTAATAAGTCTTTAAAAGTAATAAAATTAAAAATAATTGTTTATATTTTATGTGTTGATTCATAATTAGAAATATATTGTCTGCAATTTCTATCTTCATGAGTATGAATTCCAAGTTTCTCTTTTTTATAATCACAATATATATTATTTTTAGCAGCCAAATAAGTTAATATGGCTTGATCTTGTCTGTGATTAACTCTACTACTTCCAGGGGGAGCGATACAATCTTTTACAGTTGCACATTTAAACCATTCATCAATAATATTTTGGGTCTTTGTTGTATCAAAAGTAACACTTGCTCCGTTACAATTTACTACATGATCATATTTGTTGTGATCATCACCATAATAATCGTAAACTCCTGGATGAGTCCAAACTTTCATTGTTCCAGAAGAACGTGGAGAAACAAATCCTTCATATTTTCTTAATGAAGAATTTAATTTTGTAAAATATTTTCTATCAACCAAAGTTCCACTATCCAACCAAACCAATTTTCCAGGATAATCACGTGCTACTTCGGCAATCATACCAGGTTTCCAAGCGTATTCACCTCTTGCTATAGTTATATTCCAAAAATCAGGATAATGTGACCATTGAAATGTTCTTAATTCTGTTAAATAACCAAGTTTTTGTAATTTTTTAAGTACTTTACGTTGCGAAGCAGAAAATCCTAAATCATAAACTATTAATCTTGCGTTAAATCCTTCTAAAATATCTTTCATATAATAAAGGAAACTTTTCGTTGGACAAAAATGGTTTTGACTTGCTCCTGTTATCACAGTAAAATCGTACGTTATATTTGATTGTGGTAATGGATGAATTGCTGGTTCAATATCAATTTCCACATCATTTTCGTATGAATTATCATTATAATCTGTATCGTATATTATCGGTATTGATTCATTATCGATTTTGTCCGGTTGATCTTCATATAACGGACATTTTCCACAAGGTGATGTATCATCTAAAGAGATTGTTTTTTTGTTAATTAATACTCTTAAAATTATGTTATTATTTTTTTTAAAAAAAAGGTCATTTTTATTTACCTGATTCATATGAAGATGGAAACATTTGAAAATAAATCTTTAATGTCAATGAGATCATTACAAATACTAACACTAGAATTTGTAATTTTTGAATAGTTTTTTGTCGTATCGATCCACTGTTTCTTCTGGCCATTGTTGGGAGTCCTTTCGTCATTTTTAATTATTATTTTTTTTCTTTATTATTAATATGATAAGAACTTGTTTCGTCTTAAAAAAAAAAAGCTTAAAAACGGATGATTTTCTTTAAATTATTATTTTTTTCTTTATTTCTCTTTTTATTAATTTTTTTTTTTTTTTTAAAATTAAAAAAAAGAAAAATAATAAATAAATAAATTTATAATATTTTTCAAAGAGCAAACAAACCGTTTTGGCTTAAAAAAAGAGGATCAAAAAATTTCCATATCTCATTCTATTTATATTTGAATTTTGTTATATGCACTCTTGTCCGAATATTCCGACTTATCCGCTATCAAAATTTTTTTCACTGCTTAATTTATCATACCCAAATTTATTAAGAATATCGTTACAATACTATTTATATTGTGCATGGGTGTGATAATTACGCCTAAAATTATTTTTTTCCGTTTTTTTTTTATTTATTTTTTTTTTATTATAATGAAAAGAATAATAATAAATAAACAAATGGAATTTCTACTTCCATAAATATAATGAGGGTTATTACAGCCAAGAACCCTTTTTTCTATTTATATGTAAACTAAAATTATAATTTCATCACGTGGTTGATTTAATTATAGTGTTAGCCAATGAATTGATTAACAGGTGGTGGTTTTATATGGATACCCTTTCCTAAATTAGTGAATTTTCAATGTTTGACATGTTGAAAGCAAATTGCCCTTAAAAATTGTAACACAGAAAAAAAAAAGATACGTAAGTAACGTAACCTTTTTGTTTATCTTCATAATGAAAAAGTTATTGTAAAATAAGATCTTTTTTTTTTTCGATTACATTTGTACAAGAGTTTAGATTTCTGGATTATGCAAGCTCGAGCCACTCGGTTCTTTTGATGTTCCGGATTACCGCTTTTGATTAGAAATAAAGTTTCATAAAGATGTAAATGACCTTCCATTTAAAATTTTTGTATTACTAAATTTATCATTAACGTCTTTTACGGAAAAAGAAATTCCTAATCAAAAAAAAAAAAACCATGATAACAACGATGATAACCTCAAGATAACGGAATTAGCTCAAAATCCATGAATTTAAACTTCGTAAAATTGGTGACTGTCTTCTTATAGAGCGTCATTTCCCATTGGTTCTGATTTACTATTCTTATAACAGGTAAACTCTAAAATTATACAATATAGAATTGGGGCTGACACGTGAAGATGATCAATTTACGATATCAAATATTTTTATAACCGATTACATCATAAATCATTAAAATATTAAAATCATTGAATCATTTTTTTAAAAAGAAAAATATTTAGTTCCATGTCGGAATTATAATAGTATCCGGATCCGGATTATTTTCCGGATCTGAATTATCTTCCGAATCCGAATTATTCTCCGCGTTCCGGATTATCCAAGGTTAGTACGATATTCGATTGTAAAATTTTGTAATACATTATTTGTTATGTTAATTTCATTCAAGACCTTAATATATTTTTATAAATTTTCTTAGTTTGATTCATAATGTCATCAGTTATATAATCAAAATAGAAAAAAAAAAACAATTAGCTTTTAAATTAGAATAACAGCTAATTCGTAAAATTACCGGAATCGGTTTGATAGCATATTTGCGTCTATGATAGTTGAAAAATACTGTTGGGGCGATCTAGGAAATGTTTGTGATTATTAGTCTAGTTTTTTCTTTTCTGTTTTTCTTTAATATTTTTATAGGAGACTATTTAGTTTTATTTTTAGTTTATTTTTGTTATTTTCTTTTAAAATTGTAATTAAATATAAAGGCGCTATACCATGTTTGTCCTAAAAATGACCGAAATAATATATTACGTGCAGAGTTTGGTAATTTGGTAAGTAATTTGTTTATCTACATTAGAATTTTCTACTAGAAATCATGTTTTCTATTACTTGTTCGTGGATCTGTGGACTGTGGCTCAGTACGAGACAATTCAGGCTGATCAACATCAGGCCATTTACAAAATCCAGAAATCTTTTATATCTTATAATTTGATGATTTTTTACGTCCCAATGCACGCGATTTATATAACTCGGATGTGGCAAATTTTTTTCGTGAAAAATATTAATGCTTTATTATCGCCCAATTTATTACACGGCCAACACGAAAAATATTCATAAATGAAACTATCAGTAAACTCAATATAACTCTGTTGATACTAGAATAGCTGAAATAAATGGGTATAAAAACCGGGGAAATGACAGGATTGATCTATATTTATAGAAATGTCAAGTTTAGAAACACATTACAAAAAATTAATTTTAATAAAATATTTTTACTACGTTTTTTATAATCATATTCTTTTGACTCTAAAGATTCTTGTGAATATCAAAAACTTATTATTTCGCATTCCCTGTTTCAATATTTACTATATTGTTCATAATCTCTTCAGTGATTTTTAACTAATTAATTTAAAGATATCTTTTATATCAAATAGTTCTTAATAACTGTATTTATGTATAATTGTCCCAATTGTCCCATTCTTTTTTTTTTCCTCAAATAACTATTCTTTCTATAATGTTGTATAACTCATTGCATTCTTTCTCACCGAATTGATTTTATATATCGATGAATTGACATAATAACGTAATTCTATGTAAATTTTATAATTTAATATAAAATTATCAAATCGACGTAATATAAAATATAAATGTATTTTACTATACTAAAATATTTTGAATTGTACAATCTTTTGATTCGTCTGTATATGATTAGTCTCTATTTATTTCTTGTATGATTAGTTATCCTAGATTTTGATTATTATAAAGTTTGGCTGGAGTTTATAGTTTGCCAATATTATAGTTATTAAGTTTGTAAAAAAAAAGTAAAAAATATGCGTAAAAGAATAAATAAATAAAAAAAATATTTAATTAAAATTTTATTAATTTACATACATTTTTTTTTGCCAAAAACTTATTCATTATACTACAAAAATAAGAAATTTTATCTCTATGTAAGTTTAAGATAACTAGGTGGAGAATATCTTCTTCTCAAAAATTTTACAATATATAACGGCAAACTGCTAATAGCTGTTATTACGAGCACCTTCCAAACAAATGTTTCAGTTAAAATAAATGTTAAATCTATATTGTTATATAAAAAAGGATCAAGAAATTAATATTTAATATATTCATAAAAAATATGACAAATTATTTTACTTACCAAAATAAGTAGGCAAAAATATCATTGAAACAATATAAATGGCCAATGTAATAATTTCCGATAAAACCATTAATCTATGCCTATCGAATTATGTGATAAAGTTAATAAGCAAAAAAAAATAAAATTAAATAAAATAAAATAAAATAAAATAAAGAAATTAATTATAAATTTCACATTTAATTACATACCATGTATTAATCTCCAAAGCTACCATCAACAATTCATTAAGAATTAAAGCAGTAAAAGAAATAGAAACAATGTTTATAAATTCATCTTCAAAGAGTACAATTGACATGATCATAATTGCACCACCTAAAATATACGAAAATATATGAATGTTAGCTATCTCATTCATTAGTTAGTTAATTCCAGTTAATGCAATAATAAAATTACCTTGATAAACACTGATCATTAGCCATTGAAAGAAAGTTTTCAATGATAATGATCGACCCTAATAATAGTAAAAAGGTAACAAAATTAGAATTTTTTTTTTGTTTTGCAATATATAGAGATGTTTCAGAGTAAATCTTCTATTACCTTTATTAAATCCTTGTATAATTCTGGAAATTGCAATGCTATATCCTCTCTCACATCTTTATCTAATACGAGTGAAAATACTGGTGCCATTGTATAAACTGTAGAATAACCTACAATTAGTATCCCCTATTAAATCATGGTTTTATTTGTTAATTTTATTAATTGTTTGTATATTAATTAAATATAAATAAATAATAAGTTATCATCTCAATTTATTACCTGATAAAGTGCAATAGGAGCAAAATAAAATATTGCAGAAAATACGGCTTGTATAACTGATATTATTAAACCACGATGAATGACAAATTGAGCTAGTTTTGCAGAGCGTTTATAACTATTTCTACCATGCCACACTATAAAAAAAATTCAATATATTAATTAAAAAACATATAATTTTGATCTTTTTTAAAAAATACATAACAGTTCTCACTTACATAACAATTTTGTCAAAAAACTGAATTGAGTTACAGAAAAATCTGCAGCTAAGGAAGCTTGTTTACCTTCCTTCCCTACAATCCCTACACCTAAATTTTATTCATACATAAAATATCAGATTTTTGATTTTTCAAAAATATAATGCGTTCAGACAATATACTTACCAACATCAGCTGCCTGGATCATGCTAACATCATTGCCACCATCTCCTATGCAACAGACTCTTTTATTTGAGAATTTCTTAATAAGTTTTGTTATATCAGCCTAATTATAAAAATAAAGTAAGTAAGAAACAATAAATTAAATTAAACTTAAATAGATAGTATATAATACTTTTTGAGTAGGAGAACATCTACAAGCAACAACTACTGGCAATTCTACAGCCAATTCAATGAATTCATACTGATAGTGATCCATATAAATTTGTAGTGATTCACCGTCAATTACTAAACAAAAATCTCCTTTGGTTTGTAAACTAATCAGTTCTTCATGAGCATCTTCAATGCTTTGAACTAAAAATTGAATATATTAATAAATAAACACAAACAATTAAACCCTCAAACCTTTAATCAAATGCATTTTATAATACATACGTTTAGATATTTGATGAATAGTTTGATTCCTTGAAATTAATTTTGAAGATATAGCAATACATGTTGCTGTTTCAATCTTATCTCCTGTTAACATCCAAATTTTTAGACCTGCATTTCTCAATAATTCCAAGGTGGTCTTTACACCATCCTGAAGTTTATCCTCCACTCCAGTTACTCCTAAGAGTTCTAACTCATTTTCTAGGATTGTACTTATAACTGCTTGTTCTTGAGCTTTACGATCTGAAAGACTCACTTTGGCTTCATGGTATCTATAAATAATTATCATAATTAGATATATTTGCAGTTTAATCGGTAGGAAATTTCTTGTATTTACCTTTGTGAAAAATCATTATATACTTCTTCTGATAACTTTTTACGGGCAACAACTAAAGTCCTCAACCCTTCTCTGGCCATATTTCCACATTCTTCATCCAGCCAATCATTATATTGTACAATCCTACTCATTACGACATCTGCTCCTTTTTCATAAAAATAAATTTCATCGGTAGCTTTATCTTTAACAATAATTCCCATCCTCTTAGTTTCACTTGTGAATGGAAATATTTGAAGAATTTGAAATTCAAAAGTATCACCATGTTTTGTACGAAGATGCATTTCATTGATATCACGGAAAACAAGAGTAAGACCAACATGTTCCGTCCATTTCACAATTGCAACTTCATCTGGTGAAGATGCTTGATATGTAACCTCTGAATCATCAGATTCTATTACAGGAGTAACCTAAACAACAAAGTTAGTTAAAAAATTATATTATAATTTACTCAAAGCATTCTCACTTACATTGTGACATAACGCCAAGGCAAATACAATATCTTTTATTCTAGAACTCATATCTCTACGACTTTTTCCAACCAAAATAGTAGAGGTAGCAGTACGGGATGTTCTCTGTACATCTTAGGTACGAAAAGATATATAAAACATTAAGTTCAAATTATAATTAAAAAAATATATATATATAAAATTGTACATATACATATATACCTTTTCCTTGTTGTTTTCCAAATGCGGCATCAAGTTGATTGGAAATTTCATCCATGGTATCAATATTATAGGCCATGGTTCCCATATGAAGTTTTTTGAGCTCCATATCTATTTAAAAAAATTATTTTTTATATTATGTTATATTAATCAAATGATATATTATTTGTTTATGTCAATTACCATTTTTAGTCAGTGTTCCGGTCTTATCTGACAAAAGATATTCAATACGACCAAGTTCTTCAGGTATGGTACTGGTTCGTACTATTGTATCGGGGATCTCTCTATCATTCATAATTTGATATCCATAAACAGTTTTGCCCATATCTAAGTTAACACGTAATCTAAAATAAAATAAATAAATAAATAAGAATAACTATATTAAAAATCAAATAAATAATTGTAATTATTAAATAAAAGACTTACCCAATCGGAATGATCGAAGAAAATAGGATCAAAAATCGAAATAAATAAATATACCAGAGACCCCGAAATCCGTTCAAAGCAATAAGCAACAATGATAATAACAATGTAACCAAGAATAGAATCTATCAAATAATAATATATTTGAATTAATTTTAACCAATTTTAATATTTTAATTGATTAGTAAAATTTTAACTAAATCAACCTTGGAAAGCCGATTAATTTCTTGATCAAGTAATCCAACTTTTGTTTCTGGATGACTTGTGTTCATTACAGCGCGAGTATCTTTGCCGGTATAAATAACAAATCCAATAGCAGTGCCTGATGCCAATACTGTATTCATCCATAACGTATTTTCAACATTAAGAGCCTCAACTTGCGGTACCTAGAGTGACAATAAAAAATTAAAAATTGACAAAAAGAACTATTCATACGAATATTATTCTAATAAATCTTACAATATCTTCCGCTACTGCTTTCGAAAAATTTCCAACAAAGTTATGAATATCTTTTTGTGGACTGTCAGCATATATTTCTGCATTAATGTCCAAAAGACTTTCATCTGATGGTAATTTTTGGCAATACGGCACGGCTAATCTATAAATAGGTTTAAATTAATAATATTACACGTAATAATAAATTTTTGAAATCAGATCACTCCCTATCTAGATAAGATACCTTAGTTTCCAATCAGTTTCACCATCTAATTGATCAGTCCTAATAAAACAAGCGCCACTTGATTCTGTTGTCCGGAGCAATATCAAATCTGCAGGAATCTTTTATTAAATAATTTATAAATGATTAATTCACTAACACTATTTAAAATAATATATATATTTTTTTTTAAAAAAAATCTTTGAATTTAACATACTCTTTGATCTTTATTAATTATAATTAAATCTCCAACTCTTATTTTTGAACTTGGCACTAGCTTAATACCTTTAGTTGTCATTATTTGATATTTTTGAGAATTATTTTCTTGATCTCTCTTATATCTTTTCCAATCATCATAAGCTTCTTTACCCATCGTTACAAGGATCACAAAACATAATGGGCCAAGGTATGTGATAATATAACCTAGAAGAAATAATAAATTATGTGAATATTAATTGAAATATTTTTATCTAAATAATATCTTCTTACCAATTTTCAACGGTGGAATAAATTGCGATAGTGCCACAAGAAGAAAGTATAAATTAATGAATATATGAAACTTAATGTAAAAATAGAAATTAGTATTAAATTAACAATCATATAACATATATTTATTAAAATTGATTAAATAATAATTAATGTTTACCTGTTGATAAAATACCAACGGAAAAAAAGTAATTAAATTATATTTTTGATTTCGAACAACATTTGCTGGAAATTTATCTTTCAATTTTTCTAAAAAATTATCAATTAATGAATATACAAAAAAAAAATAAATTAAATTAAAAATATTTTCGAAACAATTAAATAGTAAGCAACAAACCTGCAACTTTAAATGAGATCGTTCGAGACTTAGCTTTGGTAGTATTTCGTGATGGAACATTAGTCGTTGATGCAGATGATCTTATATTACGACGTCTCCTCGGAGATACCGGAGATGCTGGAGATGACTAGCAAAAAAAAACAAAGATTTACATTAATATCTTATCGAATTCATTTTTTTTTTTATTATTATTATATACAAAGAGGGAAATATTAGTCTTCTACTGTTTACTGTATTTGTATATTAAGAAATTCCCGTGGGATCTGTATCTAATATATGGGGAAGGTTAAAAGCCAATGAAAACTACTTTTCTATTATAAATTCACTTTTTTGTATTGAACTGACCTCTACCCAATCGTCATGTTGATTTTGAATTAAAGGCGCTTCGTCCTCTAAATCTGAACTTCTTTGTTTTACCCTATTATCTGAAAATGGCATAATAGTTTTTAAAGCTATAGAAGGTTCTCTCACCATTATTACGGAGGTTTTATTAAATAACTAATTAAATTAATTTCATTGAACCAGTACAAAAGATAAACCGATCTATAGTGTTTATTTGGCATTCGTTTAAGAATTATGTATATAACTAAACAACACAAACAACGGCACAGCCATTACACACAGCCCTTAATGCGGTAAGGCCACGTGACACATACAGATAGACATCGAAGTTTGTCGTGACGGGTTCTTTTGGTTTTGGCAGCGATATCTGGCAGAGGCAAATATATAAATGTATGAAACTGACCTATTTGCGTTGAAACTAGACTTTATAGTATACATACTATATTAAGTAAGTCGAGGTGAATTCAGTGTATTATTTCAAATTTATACATTTGTGTGGAAAGATCATGCTATGATAAACCCATGTGCGGAAATTATTATAAGTGGTATGTGTTTTTTTAGTGCGGGTTTCCTATATATATAAATATTTCCGCCTATCACCTTTGCGCTAGCACATGACCGCATTGCTAAAAAGAATTTTGTCGGATTTGAAAGTTTTGATCACATAAAATAGATTCCGAAATTAGTGTATGTACAGTATTACTGAAATATATTTATATGAAGAATTACATATTATTTCATTATTTCCTCCCATTTATAAGTTTTTATATTTATGAAGGATATATACTAATAACAGCAATTCACGCTTATAGAACATCGAAACCATCTGATACATCCAGTGAAATTACTTCAGAAGATTTTTTCCGAAAGTTGAGTAAATATAAATGCTAATATTAGGTCCCGAACTTTGAATGAATTAGATGAAATCTGTTGAGACAAAATGATAACAAGATGAATATAGTAACCGTGTCTGTGTTATCTGACACAAATAGTTGCTGATTGCCTAAAAAAGTCGATAGATGCAAACTTTCATCATAAATTTTGCTTTGATGTAAAAAAGGATATATGAAAAAGATAAAAATTGCCATAATTTCATAGATAATAAAAATTCGAAAAAGGTACTTTTTGAAAGTAAAACCTTATTTATGAAAAATGACTAGGCCTGAAAAGAACATTATAAATGAGGTTATTGAGTTAAAATGGTTAGAACATATCTCATACATAAGTCATAATGTTCTCATAGTCACATGAAATCTAGAATTGGACTCTTATTTAAAACCAATTGGCGTTATCATATTTAAGACCTTATAATTCTTTTAAGCTTTGATAAAGAAAAGAAAAATGAAAGCTTATTACTTCTTTGTATGGCTACTAAGTCTAGCCTTTCCGTTAAGTATCTATAGTTATAGAATTACCGCATTAATGAAAGCTGATACGACTCGTATGAGACGCTTCAATATCAACAATAGAATGTATTACGACTCTTTTGGGTATAAAGAAGCAAAAACCCATTATGACGTCTACTACCAGAAGGGCCAAACTGACGATATTGTAACGACCTTTAGTATTCATAACAATTATACTGGTATTGAGAATTGTGTAGATGAATACTATAGCGACACTGCAACAATTACGATTAGTTCCATTCTAGGAAAGACTTTCTTAGTGGGAGAGAAACATTTTAGCGTCGAGCCCTTCGAGGTTAAATATAGAAATTGCCAATTCATTATTTCCACCTATAAGAATTTTTTTGGACCTGATGCCAAGATGTATTGCTTGAAAGATTTTGTTATGGAATACGTTCAAGCTAATTTTAATCGGGATTACTTTTATATAAGACCGGGTTGGAAATATTATGATTGTGGCTCTCCTGAAAATCTGACAAATTTTTCTTCCTGTTTCTTCGATCCTTTGTACTAACGAAGTTTATTTTTTATGAAGTATAGGATCAACTATGAATAAAATTAGTCTATATTATTAATTATTAATTAGGTTTAAAATAAAATATGTAAAAAATTTTGTAATTTTATTTATTCATAAAATAAAATCATTATTTTATGGTTAACAGGTTAACTATATCAATATTTCATTGGTCCAGAACAAAAATCTAAACCTTTTTTGAATTAATTTTAGACAATAAAAATAAATTTAGTCATCAAACATATTTAATAAAAAAAATATTTTTTTTTGAAACAACAATAATAAATAACAATAAATTCATTTACTAAATTTGTTTCGGTTTAAAGATTTTATCTCGGCTCGTCGATAAGGCGCAGAGTTATTAGGCGCACATTGTCTAGAACACCAATTAAATAAGATCAGCAAATGGATCAACGCTTTATTAACTGGATTTGTAGATCAAGGAAGCGTATAATTAACTCCAAGATGCAATTCTTTTTATTCTTTTTATTCTTTTTATTCTTTTTTTTTTTTTTTTTGTTAAAAGTATTGTTGAAAGTTTGTAACAAGGAAAAATAGTATTAAACTAAATGAGTAGTTTAAATTTGAAACTCAGGATCACAGACTCTCAGTGTTTCTAATTAATTAAATAAAATGTACCACGTGAGTCAACAATGCGGAAATCACCAGGACAAAAATACTGTTTGTTTTATTAGTTGATCACAAGATGTAAGAAAAGAGTTAGAAAAACTACTCGGCGTACTTTAATTAAAAATAACGCAATGGCATCTACCGATCTTTTAAATATATAAATCAATTTAAAAATATACATACACGGTATATATACTGTATATGGTATATTTATAAAATTTTGATAACTGATAAGAAATAATGGATCATAATTTTTAATTGTGGTGCCCATTTTTAGTCTTGTATAATAATTTAAAGTTTTTCATATTTATCAAGACAAACGATAATTCGATACTGAAAATAAGGCTGTTTTGTTTCTAGATTGCATTAAATCTGTATGCACAAATATTTTTACTTATTTTGGTTTTACAAAATTAGCTTTATAAGATGTGATCTATGGTTGGCTAAAAATACAATAATAACGTTTTATCTCATTAAAGTTTTAACTTTAAGCAATTTCCTTGTTAGAAAATAACTATAAATAATTTGATTTTGAAAATATAATTTTTATTTTTTTTTTTGAAAAAAAAAAAATTAAATCTTGAATACTGACTGCCCTTTATTATTATTATACCACTATGAATAAGTCATATAAATCATTAAATCCTGAAAAGGATTTTCGTCAACAGATTAAAAGTATTTTTAAAGCTTGTAAAGTTCAACAAGGTATATTAATTAAATTTTTTTTTTTTTTAAAAAAAATTTGACTTTTCTAATAACGTTCTTTTTTCTATATAATATAGGACAAATAGCAACATTTCCTTCTCCAATAAATATCAAAAATATTAAGCATCTATCCACCGATGATATAGGAATATGTCATGAGTGCAATAAAAAAAGGCCATATAAAAATTGGTGTAATCCATGTTATTCCTCCCATTTTAAAAAATCATTCGGTAAATGGACAAGCGGTAATAAATCATTGGATAAATTTATACGTAAATCGCAATTATCATCAATTAGTAGAATGAATTGTTTGGAATGGATACCAAGATATCATTTAACCGATGTTGAATTATTATATAATAATGATTATGGTAGCGTTTATTCTGCTAATTGGATTGACGGTTTTATAATTAATTGGAATAAAGGTGAAAAATGTTGGAATAGATGTAATTATGGTGTTAAAGTTATTTTAAAAACTTTTATGAATGATGATGATTTTGCGGATTTCTTACATGAGGTAAAATTAAAATAATTATATTAATTTTTATCACTCCCTAAATTCTTTTTTTTAACCTTTCCTTATCATTTTATTTTTAGCCAAAAGCTCATTTAAATTGTTGCATCCCGAATGCTCATATTTCATCACTCTACGGTTTCACTCAAGATCCAGTAACGAACCAATATCTAATGGTATTAGAATATTCTTCAGATGGTACTTTACGTAATTTTATTCAAGAAAGTCCTGATTTATTAGATTGGAAGTATAGATGCACTATATTAGAAAACATCGCTTCAGGTTTAAAGACAATTCATAGTGCAAATCTAATTCATGGTAATTTCCATACTGGAAATATTTTACAACATCATTCACGTTCAAATATAAGTGATTTTAAGTTTTCTATGAAATATAATGCCAAAAAGAAAAATTCTTTTTCTTCTACTAATACTTCAATACGTGAAGTTTATGGTGTAATACCTTTTATGGCTCCTGAAGTTTTAAGTGGTCAACAACCTACATTATCTTCTGATATATATAGTTTTGGTATTATAATGTGGGAATTATCATCATTTAACCCACCTTTTCATGATAAAGCTCATGATATTAAATTAATTATGGAAATATGTAATGGATGTCGTCCTGATATTGTTAAAGAAACTCCTAATGCTTATGTTTCTCTAATGAAACGTTGTTGGCATTCTGATCCCGCAAAAAGGCCTACTGCTGAAGAATTGGTTTATCTTATTAAAGAATTATCTACTTATACTTGTTTTAAAAAAATTAATTTATCTGAAAAAGAATCATTGAAAATTAATTTAATGAATTCTTTAAAAAATACCCATCCTTTGGCCATTTATTCTAGTAAACTTTTACCTACTCTTTTTACAGATCATGATCAAGATGATAATGAAGGTATGTATTTTATTTTAACACTCTTATTTTTCCTGTATATATAATAAAGTTAAAAAATATATATATAATTTTTCTTTTTTTCATTAGATGATGATGACCAATTGTCCGAATATGATGACTCTGTAGAGTCTTCACCGTTAATTTTATTAAATAACAATAATTTATTATAAGTTTATAAGCATTGATATATAGAATATAGCAAAACTCTTTTTATAATATAGAAAAAATATATATGTGTGTGAAATAATTTTTCTTTTCTTTTCTTTCTAATCATTTTACGATAAATTTTGTACATTTAAAAAATATCTTGTATGTAATTTATTTTTGAATCACACTTTTAAATGATGGAGTTATGTGATTGCATGATCAACTCCACCGGAATTTGAATAAACATGTGTTAGACAATTTTATTTGTATCACGAACTTATCATATGCTTTTCGAATTGGAATTGTCAAATATATTATCTTCATTTAAAAGTGTCAGTGTTAGGGTAATGGTACATTTTAAACCTCGATATGGTATTTGAAACAGGAGAAACAGGAGATGCATTTATTGTTTCAAAATGTAATATTAATAGTATTTTGATCAGATATTAATGATATTTACTGAAGATATAATCCAGATCTATTTATAACCACTTCAAACTGTTTCACTGTTTCTTTACTTATAACAAAACACCACTAGTTCATGCCTACAAATTAAGTATAATCATCCGAGTTCATAATGCGGAAAAATCTAAAGTTAATACTTATTCTTATAATTGCAACCTTCAGCAATTTCACTTTCGCTAAGGTACCCTTAAAATGGAGAAGAGAAGAATTATTTGGTGCTTTACATGGTTATGTCGGAATATTATCAAATCATTCATCTTTGGTGGAAAGACAGGCTGTTTGTCCGTTTGGAAATTTTGAATGTCCAGCAAAAAATGGCTGTTGTCCCATAGGTCAAACTTGTGCAAGTGGAGACTTGTGTAGTGATTGTGGCCCCAATCCTGTAGTTTGCGATAATACTCATTGTTGTGAACCGGGCTTTCAATGTTGCAAAAAAGGTTGTTGTAAGATAGGCCTGATTTGTGCTACTGATGATGATATTGGCATTTGTAAAGAAGTCGATACAGAAGATTCAGAAGAAGACACACTTCCATGTGGTTTAACTAAAACTGCTAAAATTAAGACTAAAACTTATCGAAACAAAGCTGAAAATGCTTCATTTGCGTATATATATGATTCAACTACTGGTTCATTAACTCAAATGATTTTAACCGATGCTATAAATCGCGACGAGGTTCAAGCTGACCATGTTTTTGAGGCGCAAACTGTTATTAAATATCTTAAAGGAGATGGTAGCAAAATATGTTCCTTTATTACATCAAATTCTGCCTATCTCGATGAACTTAAAGAAATCATGAACGATGAAGCTAACATAAGATATCTTTCTACAATTATTAACCGCGCAAAAGGGACTTATTTTGGGGGTAATAATGTAGACGACACAAAGGTCTTAAATGCAGTAAAAGAATATCTAGCTATTGATGATATCTACGAAGCATTTTCAACGACCCGTAACAAAGTAATCAAGCTTTTTCGTAAGATTGTAAGTGAAAATGGATTAGATGTTCATAATTTTGCTAACATTGAAAATTCCCTTGGACGCACTGAATATGAAAGCTTGACAAAGAAGTCATTAGTTACAGACAGTTCTTCTGACAACCCTCCTTCTACCCTGCCGTTACCCAACAAATCTTTTAACAACTCCTCTTCTACCTTGCCGTTACCACACCTTAACGTGATATTATCTGTAATTCTAAGTCTCGTATTCTTAGTTTTTGGCGAGTGCGGTCAAAAGATAACTAGAATGTCAATTTCACATATCACGAAAAAATAATACACACATAAATGAATTCTCAGAATAAGACTTTTCATTCTTATTATCACAAACACTTTGCAGCAAACATAATAAATAATTATGCTATTAAATATATGCCAAGAGAATATTGTTTATTAATCACATTTTTTAGTACTCTCTTGTAGTATAAATGAATGAAAGCCCGCTAAGCTGAGTAGAACACGTGATTTATATATTTTTTGGCCAGAATTACGGCATTAAGAAATGATTGTGTCAACTAATTACAGTGTAACGTAACGATTAGCACAGAATTACAGATTCGTGTTATCACGTGATATAATTTATCCTAGATAATTTTGGCCAGAATTATGATGTAATTTTAAATGACTATTTCAGAGATTGCACGTGAATGATACCTAAATTTATAAATAGACGTTAAAGAGAATATATATTTGCTTCCTATAAATTGATAAAAATGTCATTCCGCAGTATCGATGTTGATGCTCTAGACGAAGATATATTACTTCCCGATGAGCTATTTGCTTTTTCTAATGGAATTGAAATTGACCCAGAAACTGCTTTAAATAATGTTAAGTCAAAAGAAGTTGAAGTTAGGAACCTTCTAACAAGGTAAGTTAATTGAGAGAAAGAAGGGAAAAATAACTTTTATGTTAAAACAAATAATATAAATTCCCGCTTTATTTAGAGGTGACACATCTAATGCGTTAATAAAAGCAATAGAAAACCCTCCATATGGACTCTTCACGATAGAAGCTAAAGTAAGTTCATTCAAGCATTAAACTTACATATCAAATTTTAGATATTTTTTATAAATTCAATCGATTTTAATTAGGATCTAAATACACAAATTGTGATGGAAGTTCTAAATTCTACTAAAGCTACAGTCGAATTTGTGAAATCTTTAGCTACAGAACAACAAGATATTTTAATGAAATATATTTATCGAGGAATGGCGTCTCCTGATTTATATAATTCTGCTGTATTATTAAATTGGCATGAAAAGGTTAGTAACTTAGTGTGTACTATTATTCCTGACATTTTAGTTTAAAAATAAGAAGCTAATAATTTTTTTGTTTATTAAGCTTACTGAAGTTGCGGGAGTGGGATGTATTGTTCGTGTAATTACAGATAGAAAGGCCGTCTAATTTCTTTAATACTGGACGCGCCAGTGTAATACTAAAAAATTTTGCATGTAAAAAACAAGCCATTTAATTTTTAATTTAAATAAATAATACTTTTTTAATAAATTATAATATTAGATTGAAGTGTTTAATTTCTAACAACTACAATACAATCTTATAACTACTACTACGCTACTAAATATAAAAACTAAAATACAGAAACGCAAAAATTGTCAATTTTTTTGATTAACCTAATAATTTTTTCAGTCATACCATAAAAAAAAGAATTACTTAAAAAGTCCATCAAAATAATAATAATAAAATTAGATAAATTTTTTTTTTTAAAAAAAAAAAATGATAAAATAAAAAATGTCTTTCTCAAATAATTATTACATCCTATTATTAATCTCTTTTTTTTTATTATACCTTACCCATATATTGAGCATACATTTGTAATGCTTTAACAATATCCATTATAGACATATCTCCGAGTGCAAATTGAGTAAGAGACAGTGTTGATATTGAATTCTAAATTTGTTTAATATTATTTAGTAATGATCAAAATCAAAAAAAAAAATAGTTGTTATTAGTAAATTTACCTCAATTCTTGTAACTAAACTTTCCATAATTTTTAATAACTCTTCTTCGGTAGCATTATCTTTAACGTATGATAAACCCGATAAAAATAGATCTAACCTTGAATTTCGTGGATTTCGAACAATTACATTGCCTGATGACAGACGCTCGAGACGGAGACACAATTGTCCAATCATTTTTACAATTGCTGGATTCAATGATTGTGGAGCTTGAGGATCATATAATTTCTAAAAATATTCACAATACGTTAACATATATTTGAAGGTGCTCTAAAATTATTCCCGACAAACAACAAATTACCGAAATACGATCTCTTGCTAGGTCCTCTTCCATTCGACCTTTGAGTGCCTCCGGATAAACCTTTATAAGAGTATGAGCAAATTAATAAAAATTATTACACTATTATGCCCATCATAAAGAACTTACCAAAGACAAGACTTCGGGATTTTCTAATCCTTTCAATTTTCTTTCTCCGATTTTTCTCATTACAAAACCCAATTTCCTTAAATGAATGAGATTTTTATCTAAAACACCATTATTAGACTGAAATGACGTTCCTTGCACCTCTTCATCATTGGGTTTCTTTAAAAAAATCGAATCATTATCTCCTCCATCCATCATACCGTGTAATAATCCAATTTCGGCCTCAACATCTGAACTTATACAAATTTGTCCACCATCAGCATTATTACATATCCTTGCTGCCCTATTAACCATTGGACCAAAATAATCCATTCTTTTTGTTACTATATCAGGTTCACACACTGGAGATCCCCAATGTATTCCCATTCTAACCGATAATCCCTTGTAAATTAAATCATTATCAGCCCCTCCATAAACTATTTTACCATCTTCTGAATCAATGATTTCTCTTGGCCAGTCAACATTCAGAAGTTCAAGTTGAACAGTAAAACACCATAATAAAGCCGATGAAACAGCCGGAAAAGAGACCATAAAAGCATCTCCTTCAGTTTTAACTTCATAGCCGCCTATATTACGTAATTGCCTACGCATTATAGTGTTATGTTGTTTAATAGCAGATCGCATGGCATCTGGTATAGTTTCCCAAAGAAAAGTGGAATTCTTTATATCGGTGAAAACCAAAGAAACCTGTCCAATTGGTGGCGGAATTTCTTTTTGCAATCTTGCTATAGTAGAATCGCTTGGATTTTCATCCCTTCGACTACGTTTTGTTCTATTGCCAAAGTAAAATGTTGTTTCCTCACCACCCATACCTTGCAATAAACCTTTACCTTCAAGGTCACCTAAACGTCGACGTCGCCGATGATCAAACAAATCGCCAACTCCAATAATCATTACCATGATATTTTCTTCAGCACCATAAGATATCGCAAAATCACGCAATTTTTGTGCGGCACGCATTAAATCATCTCTTTCAGTCCTTGTGACATCCACTGCTGTTTGGTAACTCATACGATCCCATAAACCATGAGTAGCTAATATTATAAACTCATCCTGTTCTGAAAGATTGATTTTTTCTATAGAAGGGTTAGCATTAATGATAGGTGTCAAATGAAAATGACCAAATGATCGGGAAACATTAACTTCTCCATTTACCAAACAGTCATGTGATATGAACCCCCCTGCTTCTCTGATTCTCTCTATCTCATTAGGAGAAATTATACTTTGATTACTTGCAACTTCATAAGCGTTGCCATTATTACGGCCTATAACAGCTTTAGTGTCACCTATATTAGCAACATAGAGTATCATGCCAGATATATAAACTACTATGCCAGAAGCACCAGATTTATTATCATCAATCCCTAACGCAACAGAATTAGCGCTTTCAGATTCCCATGCGTACTCCAATTCCATAGTTGTATTATTTGAATTAAACACTTTGAGACCAAGTTCTTTATTTAAACTTAAGAAAGAACGGCGTAATGCTGATTCTACTGTATCAAAATCTTTTAACTTTTCGAGTTCAGTTTTGAAAAATAATTGAAAGTAGTCATGAAGATATTTAGTAACTCGACCACCTCTATTTGTACCAGCACGACCTTCAAACAATCCAAATAGGCATTCATCCTCACGACCACGAAATTTAGGAATTACAGCTTCCCACGTGGATAAATTATCTGATGTACCTAAAGTATCAGCCATGCCATATGACATAGAGTTGACCTCGGATCCAGAAGTTCTGACGCGACGGTTATCTGTTTCGTCAGGAACTATCAAATCTAAAAGAGTAATATCCATAAGACCAAGCACACGAAGTCGTGTTAAAGCACCAAAATCAGCAAGATTACGATCTCGAGGAGGGTTTAGTTCGTTAAAAAGTGCATGTTTAATCTTTAACCGTTTATTCCCTGATAGGTTAAGATATTTGAGTTCAATATTCCAATTCCTATAAAAAATAATTATTATTAATTTATACTATTATTTTAAATTTATAGATAATTTGATAAAAATCGATCATACCAATTCCACTCAAAGTGCCAATTTGCAATATTATATTTTAACGCGTTATTTCCAACATCTAACACGACCAACTTCCTTATCTTACTCAGTTCAGCGGGTAAAGTTTGCAATTTATTTCCATTAACATGTAACACTCTCAAGCTGGTTAATTTTTCAATGTCATCGGGAAGTGACGATATTTCATTTCCAGAAAGATATAACTCTGTTAGATGAGGATTTACAATACCGCCAGTAGGAATCTCATCCAATAAATTGAATGAAAGATTAAGTATTCTCAGTTCATTAAATAAAGAAATGGCAGAAAAAATATCGGTAGTTAAACTGTTATCGCCAAGATATAATGCACGAAGGGCGTTACTAAGACATGAGTTAGGGCGAACTGAATTGGATTGATTAACGTCTGGAAATGAAGTCGGTCGCATAGGAAATTGCTCAAGAAGATTTGAGCTCACATTTAATGTTACTAAACCTGCACAATACCAAATCTCCGGAGGGAGTGAGCTAAGGTTATTGTTATGAATGTCCAAAACCCTTAAGGCCGTTAGAGAACCTATTTCACTAGGAAGTGCCGAAAGGGTATTGTTTGTACACGAAAAATGTGCTAGTTTCTTCAAAGAACCAATTGAATTTGGGATCTTTGTTAACTGATTATTAGATAGGTCTAACTTTTCTAAAGATACAAGGTCTTCAAACAACTTATCAGGTAATTCTATTAGTTTAGAATAAGCTAGTGAAAGGTCAGTTATTGAAGTTCCAATTCCCATGAGTGAGAACTGGGTAAGCATATTTTTTGGTAAAATAAGCTTTTGTAATGAGCTAGACGATAACTTTACTATGCTCACATTATTTGACTCTATCAGAAGAACTTGAAGATTTGGTACTAAAGATAAAACGTCAATATTAGTTAATTGATTTCGACGAATATCCAATTTTTGTAGACTAGTTAAATTACTGAAACTTGTGGGTAATGAACCCGTTATTTGATTTCCAATCAAAAATAATCTCTTCAAGTGCACAAGGTTACCGATTTCCATTGGTACAGATGTTATTTTGTTAAAACTAAGATCTAATTCTGAAAGAGAAATAATATCGCAGATTACTGGAGGAAATTCTGTAAATGAATTGTTGGCAACATTCAAAATGTTAAGACATCGAAATTTCGCAAATGATTTGGGTAAACTTGTTAATAAATTGTTATCAGCTTGCAAGTTCGTTAACTCTGTAACATTTTCCAATTGTGTATGGTCGAGATCTCGTAAACGATTGGAACTAAGATTAAGGGTTGAAAGCATTTGAGATTGCTTTACAGACTGAGGAACACGTTCTAGTTCATTTTGAGAAAGATGTAACTCCTTAAGCTGATGACAAGATTGTATAAAGTCTGTAGGAAGATCGAGCATAAGATTTTGAGAAACATTGAGTGAACGAATAAAATATGCTTGACGATAGAGAAATATTGGAATTGTCTGTAAATTTCGAGCTTGAAGATCTACATGCTGTATAGAAGATAAAGCGCCTTGTTCTTCCTAATGAAAAATGTGTAATGGATAAACTCGTTAAAATTTCTTTGTAAATGTTTATAGGTTGATAAATATAACAAACCTCAAATCTAGGAACTGTTGTCTCTCGAAAAGTAAACCGAAATAAATAACTATTATCTTCTCGTCCAAGATCATCTAATTTATCATTTTCCGTATAACCCGCTTGCTCGAGCAATTGTTTTTGTAATTTTAAAGGTCGTTCTTTCGGTAATAATACGCGTTCTGCAATTTAAAAAAAAAATCCTTAATGATGATGAACTAAAGATACCATTAACCAGTTAAACGTTAATTACCTAAATTATGCCTCTTTACATATAGATTATACTTTGATATATCTTGAATAAAAAACTTCTTTCCTAGCATATGGCATAGTTCAGCTGTTGGTGTGTTCAAGAAACAATTAACAGTACCAAAAGTTGCGTCAGGTCGAAATATCCGAATGCAATACTACATAATATTAACATATTTAAACATTAGCCGTAGAAAACGATCTATAAAGCAATAAAGAATATTCTGGATAGAAAAATTGAGTGATGATTGACTTATTCATATCCTTTCACTTAAAAAAAAAAATAGTCTCTCAAATTATTTTACTATAACTAGGCTCAGTAGTTCTTCCAAATAATATAAATAAATATATATTGATAATGGAATGACATATACCATTTTGTTATCACTATTTAATTTTTCATTATTAGTATCATCCATAATATTATTATCTAAAAAGAGTTGTTGTGGCTTACGAACAGCCCATGATTCTGGTGGTGACCACATTTCAGCATTACCCGTTGGTGTTAATGTCCAATCACTTGAAGATTCTTGCAACATTTCGTCACATGTTATAGAAACACCCGAGAGCCGATGTTCGCGGTTATCATTTCTTATGATGCCATCCATATCATCTATGTCCACTAAAAAAAATATGGAAGATGTTAATTCTATTGGTGCATGAAGAACTAAGATTGTTTGGAATAAAAGAATTATAAAAGAATTAAAGAACGATATCGATACAGTTAAATTCATTTTGTGTGGTTTCCTATAAAAAATTAAATAAAGATAGGAAAATTAAAATATTAAATAATTGACATTTTTTTTGGCTAAGTAACCGGATTACCACTTGATCTGTATTATCTCACTCTTTACTATAACCGGTTCAGGAAGATACAATTCTTAGATCTAACCTTTACATTAGCCCGTCTTAAAAAGTAAATATTAAAAAATTTGACATACCTTCCTTCTCCCCGAATTTCCTTTTTTAAGTCTCCAAGGGTGGTGATCGCTTTTTTCACTCTTTCCTGTCAATGAAGTTGATCTGCTATAACCCGGAGTCGTTGGGGCAAAATCATCCTTTTCGAAAGGAGTTATAATTAAATTCGGATGAGAATGAGTATATGTTTCTGCATCAGAGTTTTTACGATGTATGCCTTTATTGTATCGTAATAGTAAAATAAAATTATATATGCGCGAGTAAAAAATAAAATATATGTAATATAAATTTATGCATATAAAATATGTATGCGCAATTTAATTAAAATCACGCATAATTGGGTCAATTAACAACTAACCTTCGGAAGTCGAAGTTTCTTTATCTTTGGGATTTTTCCTACCAAGCAATCTTGAAAATATAGTTCTCTTTTCTTTTTCTTTCCCTATCGGATGAATAATGCTGTATACACTACTAGAGTCCAAAGCGGAATCACTATCGGAGCTCTTTGTTCTTCGATGAGTTATTCTATAAGAACTAGTATCGGAATTACTTGACAAAGTAGTAAAAGACCCTTTGCGATTGTCCGCTGGGTTAGTTGTCTGGTAAACAAATGGCGCTATTTCTTCTGGAGGAAAGTCACCATACCGAGTATTCATATTAGGCTGTAAGGAATCAAAAGATTTTCTCCTTGGTTCGTCATCGTCAGGTAATAATAAACCAGACTTTACGTTTCCAGCGGAAAGTTTTCGAACAAGACCACCTCTTTTTGATGATCTAGCTGCTAAGTTATTCATTGATTGTAGAGTAGGATCATAACTTGGAGAAGAAGGGCGAGAATGTGACCCAAAAATTGAGGACAAAAATGAGTCTCTTTCTTCGCGAGATTTTTTTCGTCTATTTTGACCGCCACCCGTAGGATATTTTTCAGGCGTACGAAATGGAGAAGGTGGGGAAATTTCCAATTCTGAAGATCGCCGTGGGGTCATAGATATCAAGAAATTATACGAACGAAAGCATTTGATGATTTATTGAAATATAAAAATACAAATTGTTTAATATATTATAAACAAATTGTGAAACAATGTGTAGCAATATTAAGTATGGTTAGCGAATCAACACACTTTACAAAGGCACATGATCTCAAAATTATCTTACCAAATTCAAGAAGTCACGATAACTTGTTATAATTTGAAATTTTGAATTTCATATAAATTTTATGAACGCACAGGCCATTTTATCTTCCTAACCTTTATGATGACACAATTGACGCAATTGATGAATCTGTAAAAAAATTTCAACATATAAATCTTAAAAACCTAATTTTAATTTGGATAATTTGTGGGAATTCTCAATCTCATTAATTTATATAAATTATATTTTACTTTGGAATAATTTAACCTAACATTATTTTTTCTCCTTTGTATATTACTAAATCAATAAAAGATAATTATCGTGTTATGTATGAAGATCATGTGTTACAGTAAATATATTGTGGGGAATGCACGAACATGATGCAGCAAAAATTTTCAGGGGTTTGGTTACACAGTTACACTAAAAATTTCTAATAACTGATAACTGATTATTTCCCTAGTATATTAAAATATATACATATTTTTAAAACTATTTTATGAAATTATGATTTGCAATCATTAATATGTTTTAGATTTTAATTTATTTTCTGTAAATATGTAAATATAAAAATTTACATTTGATTTTTTTTTATTTTAGCCTTAATTTTATGCTTAATTCTTGATTTTATACTGTAATCTTAAATAGTAACTAATAAAAAGTACAGTACAGTAATTTATAATTAAACTAAAAGTAATATAATGTAATAAGTTAATTAATGGATAATATAAGAATTCAACCATATCACTTTATAATATATTTAATATATTTAACAAATAAAGAATAAAATTACTACTATTAGATTCTTCTTATTTAAAAAAATTTAATAATATAAATTTTATTATAGTTAACTTAAAATTAGGAATGTATAATTTAAATTTAAAAAATACTTCTAAATAAGTAATTTTTTTAAAATTTATATAATTATTAAATAAACTCTTTATAATATATCAGATATATTACAAAAATTTTTGGAATAAATTTATATATATAAATTCATAGTTTAAGTTTATATATTAATTTATTTGATTAACTTTGAAATTTTATAAAATTTATTTATTATTTATAATTAGAAAAAAATTTCAAATAAAAACATTATTAAATTTAATATAAGTATAATTATAAGTTATTGTGTGACCTATTGACTTTAGCTTAATTATAGCTTAATGTTAATTATAGCTTATTTTTAATTTTTTAAAAATAATAAAATTGTTAGCAATTATATTTAATATATAATAAAACATGATAATTTAGTATAATTACTATAATATATATAATATAAGTTATATAAAAACTAATATAAACTGTATAGAATTTAATATTTTTTACATATGTGATATATTATTGCTTTTTTGTTTGGCTATTTTTATATAATAACCAAATTTTTTAATTCTTTATTCTTTTGATTTTTTTATATTTTAATATAACCCAATTGTAACACTTTTAAAAACTATATAATATATGTATTTTTACTTGCTTTACAATTTTACTTAATATATCAAAAAGGATTTAAAATATTAGTTTTAACTTTTATTATATAAGAGTATAATATTTTATAAATGCAATAAAAAATAAAATCTATAATTATAGTATAAATTAAATTTAAAAAAAAATAATGCAAAAAAAATTATTAAAATTATTTATTATTTTTTATTGAAAAAAAAAATCATATAAAAAATTAAAATAAAAATTTTTTAATTATTTTTATAATAAAGTAAAATTTTTTAAATATACAATAAGTTATATAAAAAATAATAATTAATAATAAAAATATAGAAATGGTTAAATATTATTAGCAATAATTGTTATTGGTCTAAAAATTTTTAATTGTTTTATAATTTATATATAAAAAAAAAAATTTCTAAATTACTTAGATAATTTTTTTAAAAAATATAATATTTTGATTTTTATATATAATTTTTAATAAATTTTAATTTTTAAATTTCAGGATTTTTATTTTAAAATTAATTAAATAATATATTATTTTAATTTTATTATATAAATTTATAGTTTTTTTATATTAAAAAGCTGTTATTTAAGCAGTTTTTTTAAATTTAGTAATTTTAAATAAAAATAAAATTATAATTTTAGTTAAATTAAATAATAATAATTTTACCAGTAATAAATTATAGTATAACTTTATTAAAAAATAATATATTTTCTTTTATAATTTTATTATCTTATAAATATTAATTATTTAAAGTAATATATAAATTACAAAATAATTTACTATATTAATTTATAAAATTAAAAAACTATTATCAAAATATTACATTATAAACAAAATCAATTATATTAATCATAATTATTAATAAAACATATAAATTACAGTATTATATTATGATGTTTGTAATAATTCAAAAAATTAATTTTATTAAAATATATTAATAATAATATTTTTTTTTTTTCTGCAGCGCATTTGCAGTTTTATTAAAGTAAAAAATAAAGAAAATATATACAAAGTAAAATTCCCTAATAACTACTCTAATATAATTAAACTACAAACCACTCGTCATACCGGTAGTACCCTACGTGTGTACTGTCGAGTGATCGTTTGACTTTGTAGGTAGACTTCGTTTAGTAACAGGTCATCTTAGCCATAAAGACCCTATCTTCAATGTCTAGTGATCACAGGATCTAATTAATAATATTATTATATTATAAGTTATTGTTATTTATATTCTTTAATTTTATTATTTATACCCTTATAGTCAAAATTAATGAAAATTTGGTTAAGTGATATTATATATCAGTATATAATATTAGTTAAAAAGATTAGAAAGATTATATATAATATATATTATATAATTATTAAATAAAAGAAAAAGAATAATATTATACTTAATAAAATTATATGATTTATAAATTATAATGAACAATGGTCAATTGCTCTTGAGAAAATAAAACAATATATAAATCAGTTTATTAGAGAAGGAAATAAAGTAATTTGAAAGGTATATAATAATATCAAGATGTATAAATACAAATATAATTCTTCCTTTTATTTAGAAAATAATAAAAGCACATACTGAAGTTATATAATAATAATAATCCTATATAATCTAATAGCGACTATAGGAGAATATAAGTGAATTTCATATTGGTAATGGTAGAGTACAGAAGCAATTTATAGGATAGGAAACCAGTTCAGAGTTTTAATAGATTAGTTATGCATATAGCAGAAACTTCTATACTTTCATATAACTAATAAATTGCACTACCTTGAAAAAAAAATTACTTTAATTATTTTTTTTACATTTATAATACATTTTTTATAATATAATTTCATTAATTTTATTATATAAATTTATATAAAATATATTATATATAATTTTAAATAATATAATTTTAAATAATGAAAATTATAAGAAAAAAAAACTTTTTTTTATTATTTTGTATTTACAATTATTTTTTTAGGTAAATATATTTATTATTATTATAAAAACTAGATATTATCTAGGGGTGTGAGGGGGTTCAACTGGTTGGTTATACAATATAATTTCGTATTACCAAACTGTTCCACTACCCACAGGTCGAAAAGTGAAAAATCAGGCATCAATCAGTCACCAATCGGTTACCAATCAGGTACCTGATTGGTGACCGATTGGTGACTGATTGGCATTTTCGCCAAATACCGTCACCAATCAGGCAGTTTGCTAACTTTTGATCCAGTGATCAGAAAAGAATGAAATATAGCTCATTGGAATCGTCTCAGCAAGACGAATCTAATGGTAGTAAAATCGCATATCTAGGATTAATAATTAATAAAAAATTAAATAAAATATAAATGATCCATTTTTATTTTTATATTTTACTTAATTTCTCATCAAGTATTAATCCTAAAAATGAGATTTTACTACCATTAGATTCGTCATGTTGAGACGATTCCAATGAGCTATATTTCATTCTTTTCTGACCACTGGATCAAAGTTAGCAAACTGCCTGATTGGTGACGGTATTTGGCGAAAATGCCAATCAGGCACCAATTAGTCACCAATTAGGCACCAATCAGCTACCTGATTGGTGACCGATTGGTGCCTGATTTTTCACTTTTTGACCTGTGACCGTCACCCTTGAATTTTATTATTTTAATATATCCAAGACAACATTCCAAACTTAAAACTTTTGACACACAACATTTCTAAAAGCCGATGTTTGAGAGTAGATTAGTGTTGGTAAGAGTCATATATTGGCAAATTTTCATGACTATTAGAGCGTTATTGGGTTTCTCAGGTCAAAGTTTTAATATAGCTTATTAAAAAAACTATTATTTTGAAATATGTATTAAAAAAATTTTTTTAAAAAACAATGAAAAATATGTTTTTAACAATAAATATCACTTTTATATTAAAATTTTATTAAATACATTTTCTTTTATTAGTGAAAACTGCATACAACTATTTATTGTAGACATTTACTATAGACAATATTTTTTTCAGTTTTTTTTTTAAAAAAAAAGGTTTAAAAGTTATTATAAATTAAAAGTCTATATAAATAACGTTTTCTTGTAATAAATAAACTTGTTTTACTTGTTTTAGACTTCTAAATATTGATTTATTCATCATAAATACTAAAATAAAACTGCCAATGTTGTTTTTTTCTTTTCAGAGAAGGTCCAAACATTATTTAAAGTACTTGGACACGACAAAACAGATGTAAAGATGATCACGTTTCAAGGATGACATAATTGGGTGGCTGGTTTTTTTAATTGCAGGGGTATTTTATTTACCAATCATCATAATTTACTAATAATGTATATGAATTTATATGGAGGACAGTTTTGATTTATTAGACTTATTGTATATTATATCGTGTAACCAACCAGTTGGACCCCCCACACCCCTAGATATTATTATTAAAAAGTACTATAGTATTAGAAATGTAATATATATTATAGTTTTTATTGCATTTTATATGTATTTTTTATATAAATATATTGCAATTAAAAAAGTAATAAAAATTATTATATATTATATTAATAAATAATTTATATAATTTAAAAATCAATAATATTATATTAAATTTTAAATTTTCAAAAAATTTTAATTTTTTAATCCTTTAGGTATAATTAAAAAAAAAATAATAATTGCTTAATGAATTTGATAATATTTCAAGTATTATACAAATTGCAAAATATCTGATTTAAAAATTATATAATATCTATAGATACTTTATAAAATTCTGGATTTGTATAAGAGGATATATAATAATTTTAATCAGAATTAAGTTAAATAAAGTTATTAAGAGTATTACGAATTATATAAGATTTTATATTTATTGACATGGCAAATTTATATAGCAATAGTAACGCAAATTTCTGTACAATATAGATTTCTGTAATATTTAATATATTTAATATAAAAGGATAAGATTTATATGGTTAGAAAGCCATGCTCCTGAACTTTATTTACCAACTTTAAAAGATTTATTTTTTAAAAAAAGTCTTTAAAATCTTTATATGAAGTTGCGAATAGGAATATATGTTTTTGCGAATAGGCAAACTTAAATTTTATTGGTTATTAGTATTATGATTAGTTATTTATAACACGTAATATAAAAACAATTTGCCAAATGATATATATAAAAAAATCATGTGGTATGTAATACCCTTAAAATTAGAAGAAATACTAATTAAAAGTGAAAATTTTATATCTAGTAAAATACCTAAATCTTATAATGTAAGGATATTAACTTTAAGAAATACTATAAATAGTATTGCAAAAATTCACTAATAATTAATTCTTTAAAAATCTATTATTATTATTTTAAAAAGGTATATTAAAAAGTTTTATAAGTTATTTTATAAAGTCATTATTGTAAAATATTATAATTTTATAACTGTACTATAAAAAATTAACAGTTTTTATTTATTTATTCAATATTATAAATTAATTTTAAATAATTTTTTTAATTAACTAATTTGATTAATTGAATATTTTATATTATTTTATTGTTATCTCAATATTTATATTTACTATAAAAATAAAAAAAAAATTATTATTTATTTTAAATATAATATATAATATTTATTTATTAAAAAAAAGATATTTTAAATAAAAATCAAAGCTCTTTTATTATATATTGAACAATATACAATTACCAATAAAAGCATATTCTTTTACTAATACATCCATCTTTTTTTTATAATGAATTCTTTATATTTATCTTTAATAAATAAATAGAAAGCAGTTTCAGAAACTTTTCACAGTATAATCAAAATAGAACTTTTATTGATGAATTGTAAAAACCTTTGCTGCAAAATAGTATTTTTGGGCTTCAAGAATGCAATTTTCTTTATATTCAAATTTCATTGAGAAATTAGATATTTTACTAAAAAATCTGTAAGTATAAGGAAAGCTTAAACTTTTTAAATGGCACATGAAATGACCATTGGAGTAATTTTGCATTACAAAAGTCTCCCTTTTATATGGCATATTTTTCTCAGTTTAATGTCAGGTGGAAATTATAAAGATGTGGCAGGCATAGAAAGTACAAGCCGAAAAAATGGAAGAAACACAAAAATAAAGCATCAGGAATCAATGTCTTAAAATCAATTCATTTTCTTCCTTTCAAATATAAATTTATTCTTACATGTTATGGTTAAGTACCAGACTGAATGAGAATAAAAAAACAAAGTGACTAATAAACCATAATTTCATATACTACTGAAACACATGTCAGCTTAACTTTATCACATTATACTAAACCCGGCAAAAGTTCCCAAAAATTTTGTAAAAACTTAAAGTAGGATCTTTTAGTAGAAATTATTCCAAATTTTGAATAATAAAGTCTCATATAGCGAAGCTACGATATGATATTTAATTTGTCAATGGTCAACTAATGCTCCCGCCAAAAAAGTTGTCCTATACGAAGCGATTTTCTAATTTTTGATAAGAACCGAGACAATTTCCTATTTTATCAACTTAATCACGAGATCTGCCAAAATCTTTTTTAAAAAAAAAATCGGCGCTATTTTTTTTCCCTGTTGATTTATACGTGTGAATAAGCATGGTACTTATAATTATATGTATTTATTATTTATTTAAGTTCTATTAAATTGTTCGACTTTATATTTAAAAGGTGAATTTCGTGCTTTTTGAAACTCCTTTTGGATATGCGTTGTTTGAGCGGTTGCAAAGTGAAGAAATAGGCGTCAAACTTGAACAGGTTCAAAAGTCTGTAGAAGATTTGGTAAAGTTTGGAAAAACTATAAAACTTAAAGCTATCGCTCCTTTTAAAAATGCCGCTCACGCATTAGAGAATGCAAATGATATATCCGAAGGTTAGAGCTCTTTTTCAAACGATATTTATTTCTTGACAATATGTATATTCTAATCTTAATGAATTTTAGGTGTTGTGAACGATTATCTCAAAGAATTCTTAACATCGAATCTTTCACAACCTGGTTTAAAAAAGAATAGTATAATTTTGGGTATTGCAGACAAAAGTTTAGCTGGTTCGATCAAAACTGAATTAGGATATAACTGTGATTATGGCGAACTTGTTATTGAGCTTTTACGAGGCATTCGCCTCCATTCAGATAAAATGTTGAGTCAGCTGATAAAGGATAATGATCTTGAGAAAGGTCAACTTGGGTTAGGTCATAGCTATTCTAGAGCCAAAGTCAAGTTCAATGTTAATCGAGCCGACAATATGATTATCCAGGCTATATCATTGTTAGATCAACTGGATAAGGATGTGAATACGTTTGCTATGCGTGTCAGGTAGTAATAAATTATACTTTCTTAATTATTTTTTAAATAATTATTTTTTAAAAAAATCTTTATTTTATTAGGGAATGGTATTCATGGCATTTTCCAGAACTTGTTAAAATCGTTAATGATAATTATCAGTATGCCAAACTTGCCAAATTTATCAAAAATAAGAGTGAACTGACTGAAGAACAATTGGATGGTCTTATTGAAATAACTGGGGATGAATCGAAGGCAAAACAAATTCTTGACGCAGCCAAATCATCAATGGGCACTGATATATCTGAATTGGATATGATTAATATAGTACGTTTTACGGATCGAGTAATTGAACTAGCTAATTACCGAAAACGAATGCATGAATATTTATTGTCCAAGATGCATAACGTTGCTCCTAATTTATCAGCATTAATTGGTGAAATTGTTGGAGCTAGATTAATTTCACATGCTGGAAGTTTAACGAACCTTTCAAAATATCCCGCTTCAACCGTACAAATTCTTGGTGCAGAAAAAGCTTTGTTTAGGTATAAATAAATTATTTTGCATAGTAAAAATTATTTTGTAATTAAAAAATTTAAATAATTATTTATGATATTTTAACAGAGCCCTAAAGACAAAAGGAAACACGCCAAAATATGGTCTATTATATCATTCCTCTTTTATCGGTCGCGCTGGAACTAAAAATAAAGGCAGAATATCTCGATTTTTGGCAAACAAATGCACTATCGCTTCCCGGATCGACTGTTTTTCTGGTATGTAAATTATTTATATTTTAATGTTAAATATAGCATGTCACTTTAATGTGGTTTCGATTATTTTCAAAAGATAAACCATCATCAGTGTTCGGTGAAGCCTTGAAAAACCAGGTAGAAGAGAGATTGAATTTTTATGAACATGGTACAGCTGTTACAAAGAACATCGACGTAATTACTAAAGCAATTCAAGAGCTTGACGCAATGGATGTTGATGAAGAGGATGAAGAGAACGATAACGATAAAAAAGCGGAAATAGTCTTGGGAAAACGCAAAGCATCGCCGGAATCAGAAGGAGTATCCCCTAAGAGACATAAAGATTTGGGATCTGATGATGCGATGGATGAAGATGAAGATGAAAATGCTGAAAGTAAAAAGTCAACTAAAAAGAAAAAAAAGAAAAAAAGTAAAAAGAGTAATACTGAAAAAACTCAGGAAATAGCACTCAAAACTGCTGAATCTGAGAAGGAAACAAAAAATGATGATTCAAAATCGGAGGAAAAAGAAAAATATGTTCTGGTAGTACCTTCAGAATTAGAATCTAGTAAAAAGAAAGATAAGAAGGAAGCGAATACTATTCCAGATACACCAAAATCTGATAAGAAAGAAAAGAAAGGTGAAGAACCACTTACTCAAGAAACACCAAAATCTGACAAGAAAAAGAAAAAGAAAGATAAGAAAGAAGAAGTAACTATTAGCGAAACGCCAAAATCTGATAAGAAAAAGGATGAGAAAAATAAAGAAACGCCTAAATCTGACAAGAAAAAGCAAGATTCTACGGAAACATCTAAATTAGACAAAAAGAAAAAGAAAAAAGTATAATATTTAAAATTTTTTTTATTAACTATATATATATTTTGTAATTAAAATTTATCTTTGATTTTAATAAAATCAGCATATCGGCTGATCAGAAAAGCCTCCCATAATTTTATATGCTAAATGACAATAAGTAACCCATCAGTTATATAATGAACCCATCAACTGAGCTTAAATATTAATTGGCTTGATTTTTCCAATCAGCCGATATGGTTTATTCAAAAATATAAAAAGTTCACTGGATGCACGAACTAGCCTACTCTAATACTTAAATATAAAATATTTTAATATTGAAATTACACCTAATCTAAAATAAGAAACACATCCAGTTTCTAGTATACTGTTATAAAAAAATGGGATGGATCATAAAATGGGGCTATTTCTTTTTTAAGAAACATGATCTTATTATAGTTGGAACATAAATGGATAATGATAGTTGTAGTGATCTATTTCAAAAGAAGCAAAACCCTGAAAATATATTTGTTATAAGTCTTGCATGCATTTGCATGATTAAATTAATAATCTGAGCGATTGTTAATATTAATGAAATTACAAACAGGAATGTTAGCCTTCACAATTTCACATGCTTTGATGATAAACAAATTATTACGAAAGAAAACTAGGGAAAATATTTTAGATCAAATAATGATGTGATAAATGAATTGATTTTTGTAATAAAAATAATTAGAAAGGATCCATTATATGTACTAAAATTTTTGGCGTCAGTATTACATTTTGATTGGATTTGATTTATTGGTATATATGGAATAATCATCGTTGTTAATCTTTTGACAGCAAATTAATACAGTGGACATCTTCACGTTGGATATTTTTAAGTTGAAAAGCATTACTTCAAAAGAATAACATTCCTGATGTCAAATGTCAATGTGAAACTGATGCAGAGCATCAATTCTTTGGGATTACAAATCCTTAAATATTACGAAACTCTTGATTACTTTTTTAACGAAACGAGATAAATATTGAATTTATTTTTAACTTTAGTTATTATTTTAAAAAGTAAAATCTTGAAACAGCCCATCACAAACATCTAAAACAAATTCATCATGATCAGAAGAAAAAAAAAAAAAAATACGGGATGTATTAATTTGTCATAATGCAATAATTAACAAAAACATATTAAATTAGCTACAAATACACCTTACTAAAAAGTATATGTCAGTATACCTGATGGAATTAAAGAAAATTCTAGACATTTTGAACGTAAAAAATGGGAAATAGAATAAAAAGTTATTGGAAATTTTTGAATGAAAATTGGAAAAAAAAATTATAATATCTGGAACAAAGAATATTAGATGTAAAAGAATATGTTCTCTGTCATGTTTGGAACTCTCAATATTCTAATATAACTAATACTGGAAAAGAGGTTACGATATGGCGTAATGTAAGTAATGTTAGATTTACTCATCGCATGATTATGTTACATGTAATATATCATATTGTTGATCAATAGTTAGTATAATATTGTAAGTTGATATCAAAAGTTGTACAAATGTCGGCAATTTTTCTGTTTTTAAGTTTTATGTGTTCATATGACCGATATGACCGAAATTTTTATACTAGAATCTTAGATTATTCCGTTCTTGTCAAACAAAAATAAAAAAAGTTTTTTCCAGTCTGATTTGTGCATTCAAAAAATATTATATAAAGTTTGTTATTTTATGCTAGTAGGCGGAGGAACTTAAAAATTAGAGGTGCTGAAACTAAAAGTATGTAAGCAAACGCATTATCACAGAACCACTTATAGTTATCATTTCACATGACTACATGAAATAGGTTTCATTTAAAGCATTTAATTTCTGATTAACACTTCTTCTAAAAGAAAAAATTCTTAATTAAAAAAAAAAAAAATTTTTATACGTAGTTTTGCATTGAATTAACTCAGTTTAATAATTATACAATTGAAATACTGTCTACGCGCGCTTACTTTGCATTACTTCTTTTTGATCATTGTTCTCCTTCAGCCTGGGTCTTTTTCATTTTTTCTATAAATATTCACAAATTAACAGAATAGTAAATATCTTTTCTCTTTTTTACAAATATAATTTTTTTTCAATTTCAAAATTTTTTTTATTTCAAAAAAAAAAAAAAAAAAAATATTTTTTTTTTCAAAAAACTATAAAAAAGTTATTAAGGATGGCTGTTGTGTGTAAAATATTAAATAGTAGTATAACTGCTGGTTCTTCTGTAAAATATTTAATTACAAACGGAACATGGGATACTTTATCACAAAGTATGTATTTTTTTTTACTTCTTTCAACGCGATTCATTGTTTATAAATTGAATTTTTTATAAATTTGATAAATTTTTTATAATTTGATAATTTTTTTTTATAATAGAACCCATCGTATATGTAAATCCTAGTTGTAAGGTAATTTTATCAAAATGAATTGTTAAAATTAATATTTTTTTCTTTATATATATATATATATAAAATAATTGTGTTTTATTAGGTGCATATTCCAGGTTGGACTACTAGAATAGAATTATTTGGATTAGGTCAATATGTTTCATATCAAATAGTTTGTAGGGTGAGTAAAAAAAAAAAAAAAAAAAAAATCCGATAATCAGTATCGAGTAAAACTGATTCTGATTATCTATAAATTTTTTTTTAGTTTTGGACAGATGATGGGAATGTAAATAAAATTATTATTTATAAAAGGTATACAGATTTCTATAAATTACATCAAAAACTTGTAGGAAAATATGGTAGTGAAGTTATACCTCCATTACCTCCAAAACAATCTAAAGGTAAGTACATAATAATATTAAAATGATTTTTAACATTATCTTTCAGATTTTTATAAATAATAAATAAATTATCAGGAAGATTTGAAGAAGATTTTATTGAATTAAGAAGGGTACGATTAGAAATATATCTTGCATGTTTAGCAAAATTTTATTATCCTGAATTAATGGCATTTGTAGATGGTGATAAAAAAGTAAGTTTATTATTTATTATCAAATTTCTTTCTTTCTTTCTATATATATATATATATATATATATTACCTTTTATTAATTTATTTTTTTTTTATTTTTTTTTATAGGGAACAAAAGTTCAAACAGATGAAGACCGTAATTTAATTCAAGATAGATTTGCTACGGCATTTAAAAGATATAATAATGAAAAATTATTAAAAAGTTGTTTAACGAGTAGTTCTAGACGGTATAAAAGATTTCAAGTACATTTTTCAACTGATGTTGTAGATAATGAAAAAGCTTCAAAAAATCCAAGTAGTTTACAATTTATGAACCAAAATCCTGATATTACTGTTTATTACATGTAAAATAAAAAAATGTTTATTTTTTTTTTCATTACAATTCCTTTCATATTATTTTTTTATATCATTTACTTAATAATCGTGTCATTATATATTCAGATTATACGAGAAAAAAACTATATTTGTCTTGAATATGCTGTTAGGCTGTTACATTCATCATGTTACAGTAGTTACAGTATACCGTTACCCGTTACGTAGGATGATAATGTAATGTGTGATTTTTGTGTGACATTTTATTCAATGATTATCTTATATATAAATTGTAAAAAAAAAAAAAATTTTCTTTTTAACCGATCTCTTTCTTGAAATAAAACATGATCACGACTAGATTACAAACGATAATAACATCATCAATAATGAATAAATACGTGATAAATAATACAACAAAATTAATTCAAAGAAAAGAAATCAAATGTTTTTTATGTAAAAAACAAAAAAAAAGAAATTTTTTTATTATGAATAATAATAATAATAATGAAAAAAATTTTTATTTTAATAAAAAATATTTTTCATCATCATCATTTATTTCAACATCATCATCATTTATATCAACAACAGCAACTTCAGCAACTTCAATATCATCATCATCAACAACAACATCATCATCATCAATGATTTCAACGAATACTCCTATAATGACGACAACAACTACAACAACTATTTCACCAGAAATTACATCATCATCATCATCATCATCATCTACATCCACAGATAATAATAATAAACAAATTGAAATAACTTTTAAATTATTTAAACAATTAGTTGAAACAAAAATTGATGAATTAAATAATATAGAAAATTTTCCTGAATTTACAAATCTTTTAATTAAAGAATTAATAGGTTCAGGTATTGATAATGAAATGAAATCTATTATGTGGATTTATGATAAATTTGAAGATAATAATAATTTATTAACTTTTGAAACAAAACATTTAATAATTTTAGAATTATTAAAATATAAACAAAAGAAAAAAGCAATAATTATAATGGAAAAATTATTATTTGATAATAATTATTTACCAAATTCCTCAATAATTTATGAAATGTTTGAAAATTTTAAAAATTATGATTATAATAATAATTTAATTATGATTAATTTGATTAGAAATCTTTTTAATATAATAATAAAAAAAGATATACAACAATTAGAATATCATAAATTATATACAAAGATGATTGAATTAGAATGTTCAAATTTTAATATAGATAAAGCTATAATATATTTTAAAGAAATGAAAGAAATAAGAGGAATTGAACCTGATCATATTTGTTATCTTTCTTTAATTAATGGATTCGCTAAAATGGATATGATGGATAAAGCAGAGGAATATTTTAATTTGATGATTCAAGAAAAAATATCACCAACAATTGAAATATTTACAACTTTAATTAATCATCATTTGAGATTATTAAATATTGAAAAATGTGAACAATTATTTCAAATAATGAAATCTTATAATATTAAACCAAATATTATAACTTATAATGTAATAATACATAATTCAGTTATTAAATTAGATATGGAAACGGCAATCAAATTCTTTAATGAAATAATTGAATCAGGAATTAAACCAGATATTGTGACATTTTCAACATTATTAAAAGGATATCTTAATGTAGGAGATACTTTAAAAGCTTTGGAAATTAATAGAATGTTACATGAATTTAAACATTTTGAAATACAACCAAATCGTGCTTATAATGTACTTTTAATGAAGGCTTATATTCAAAACAAGGATTTTTTAAATGCTGAAAAAGTATTTCAATCAATAATCAATTCTAATATTAAAAGTTTAACATTATATTTGAAAATTTTATTACAAAAATCAAAAGATAAAAATTCAATTTATAGTTTATATAAGAATTTCTTACAAGATTTTGATAATTATAAGTTCAAATTCCCTCCTGATAATTATTTTTTTACTATATTTATTTCTTCTTTTGCTCAAAGATTTCAAGATATGAATTTGGCTATTGAATTATTTGAAGAAATGAAAAAACGTGAAATTAATCCTTCAATTGTTACTTATAGTATATTAATTGATGGTTTTGCTTTAAAAGGTCAAGTTGATAAAGCTGTAGAATATTTTGAAAATTTGAAAAAAGATTCTATTGAACCTAATGTTTATACTTATACGAGTTTAATTAAAGCTTGGGTTCAAGTAAATAATAAGGATAATGCGAAAAAGGTTTATGATGAAATGATTAATAAAAATATTCAACCTGTTAGTGCCACTTTAAGAGCTTTACAAAATCTTTCTCCCAATACAAAACAAAGAAATTTAATCAAACGACCTTCAGAATCACAGAGAGAAGCATTTTATTGGGCTGGTAAATTATGGAAATCAAAAGATATTGAAACAGTTGATGGATTATTTCAAAGTTTCAAATCATCCATTTTAAATTCTTCAGATGTTGATGATGAACCAAATGTTAAAACTTTTCGTTATTTTATTACTTGTTATTTATTTAAACATAGAGATTTAGCTCGTGCTTTAGAAGTTTTTAGAGAAATGTTAAAATTAAATATTAAACCTGATTATTTATTATATTGTGATTTTATTAAAGGTTGTTGTATGTTAGGTCAATTTGAAAAATCTATTCAATTTATAGAAATGATGAAAAATCAAAATTTTGTACCAAATGATTATATTTATTTTAATCTAACAAAAGGTTGGAAAAAATTAAGAAATTTAAAGAGAAAGTAAAAAATAGAAATAAAAATATTAAATTGGACAATATCAAATATTTATTTAATGTTATAATAAATAAATATACGACATAAATTAATTACCCATCCTATATATATAAAACAAATACCCATTCTATATATATATAAAACAAATTTTATTACGTCATTGGTTGAATTCGTAAGTATCTGGATTTAATGATTTAATGTTTTAATTTTTTTTTAAAAAAAAAATTTGAATAATTAAAAACAAGGAAAGAAGTTCAAGAAACATACGTTGCATCTAATTGACTTATTTGAGGTAAAAGCGTTTTAACTTTTAATCTATAAATTGCTTGATTTTCTGTTTGCATCGGATTTCCTTCTAGATAGATCGTATTCAATTTTTTAAGATGCCCCATTTGTACAGGTAATTCTTCAAAATCTGAAAATTGATTATTATTTGCCTAACAAAAGGAAACATTTTGGTCAATAAATATTTATTTCCATTTTCCAATGATAGATTAAAAAATAATTTACCCAAAATTCTTCTAATTCTGTCAAATGAGAAATATTCTCAATTTTTGTTAAAAGATTATTGCTGACATCGATTACTCTTAATTTTAACTAAAAAATCCAAAATAATGTTAACTCAAATTCTTATAATATGAAAAAAAGAATTACATATAAAAAGTACAAACATTGTTTTCAAATCCTTCAATCTTTTGAATACCATTATGACTCATATAAATTTCCTCTAAGTTAACCAAACCTTCTAAACCTTTTATTTGAGTCAAGCGGTTACTTTGTATACTAAGAATTTTAAGATTCCTCAAGTTCTCCAAATTCTAGGTAGACATGTAAAAGCTAAATAAATATTATTATTACTTTTTTGAGCTTTACTAAAAAAAAGGTTCATACTTGAAATTCGGTGATCTTATTTTTTCCAAGCCACAATTGTTCCAAATTCACAAGTTTATCTAAATTTTCAATTACCTATTAAAAAAAAAATTAAATTCTAAAAAATTTAACACTATAAATTAATTAAGATTTAAAATATAATTATAATACATACTCTAATTTTATTTGCTCCCAATTCCAAATTGGTTACATTTATCAAATTATCCAAATTTTGAATCTTTGATATTCTATTTTGAACAAAATAAAGATTTACTAATTTTGTTAAATGTTCTAAATTTTCAATAACTCGAATTTTATTAAAGGATAAATCTAAAAATCTATTTAATCGTTAGAAGAAAAAAAATTAGTGAATAATATTAAATAGAATACATCCGAAACAAAGGATATTTATATATCAGATTGAATACTAACTTTAATTCAGGAAAATTGTTCAAGTTTTCAATATATGATATTCGATTATCATAAAGATCAAGTTCTTCAAGGTCCTTTAGACTTTCAATACCATCAATTTTTGTAACAAGATTTTGTCGAACACATAAAGACTTTAAGGTAAAAATAGGAAATTAATATCTTATAAATCGATCCAAAAACGATATTATTACCTTTATTTTTGGAAATCGGTCAAGCATCAAACTTGTGATATCAGTCAAACGTATATTTAACAGTTCGATTTCCTAAAATTAATGAAAATAAAAATGGAACTTTAACGTGTAATTCACGATGAATATCAAAGATCAAATGTTGATCAAAAATATGATAAATCAAATTGACCTCAGTATCTTCTTCAAAATCTTCAAGAAAATCAACTTCATTGATAAATATTATCGTTAATAACTTGATAATTAAATGGAATAATATTATGATCTTTTAATAATTTACACAACACCTTCTTCCTCATTATCCTCATTGATTCTGTCATAATATTTTTTATCTTTTTTTGGTAAATATTATCGTTAATAACTTGATAACCAAACAAAGGAACATAAAGATTTATGATTTTACACAACACCTCTTCCTTGAGTCTCAAATACATCTTCGTTATCATCAATATTTCTTATTTCTTCTATTTCGGGATCAGAAGTATAAGTTTCGGTTTGAATATTTTCTGACATTTTAATAGATTTTTATTACAATTTTTTACTTGAAGCGAGAAAGAAAAATAATCACCTTATATCATCGGAATCGGAATGTTTATCGCGTACCAAATTCGGAAGTTAGTATTAAAATGAACTTGGTTAGTGCGGAAATTCTATTTGTCATATGTTCAAGTTGTCAACAGAACATATCACGTGATTGAAACGTCAAACCCACGAGGATCGACATTTTTTCTATTAGAGTTTGAATATCAGGAATATCATAAATGGTCTCGATCATTTTCAAAATAAGCTATTTATCCACCCATACCAGTAATATAACTGGATAATCACAATTAATTATGGGTTTAATGTTTAACTCCAAATCAAGAAACTTTGAAGATAATCTCTCTAAATTAAAGTTTCTATGATATTATTCTAAAATGAAAGTGTACAAAATGTACAGCAAAATATCTGATTGGATAGTAAAATACTCTTAGTTATTAATCTAAAAGATGCATTGATTTTATTAACGTTTAATTTTGATATAGTTAACATATGCAGCATAAATGTTGTTAATAATCGTAATTGTTTTGATTTGATTTTTTTTTGTTATATTTTATATATGTTGTATAACAATATTGCATTTTAAAAACATGTAAATGATGTAATATTTAATTATAATTTTAAACACCATACGTTATAGCTAAATCCTAAAGTCACGGGACACCTGCCAAAAATTCGTCGGTCTGTCGGGTTGTCGGCTTGTCGGTAGGACATTACATTGAAATAATCAGCATACTCAAAACTTACTTTTGGCTAGAATTACAGCATCAAACTTATCGGTCAATTATTCGCGAATGCTTATTATATTTGATAACGTTATTTCGCAGAATCCCAGTTGTACGTAAAAATAAATATACAGTATCAGAAGCATCACGAGTACCACATAAATCCTACTATTGCAATGCGACAGGCCGACAGAATTTTTGGCAGGTGTCCCGTGACTTTAGGATTTAGCTATAATACTACAAAACTAAATAGCTCGGAGTTACCGGCATCACTGAATAAACGCCTAGTTAAACGCCTACTAGACGTGAGAGGTTGATGGAATATATTTTCACCAATTTAAATTCTCGTTCTCTTAGTGATGAGATATCATATAAACAGGTACTGTTACATCTTTGATAAAACTGTTAAAATAATATAATTATGCCATCATTCATTAGATGTGTGATCATCAGCCTAAGCTGATAAGATGTTACTCGTCTGCGATTGTAAAAAATTTACATCAGAGTAATTATTTTATTCATTATCATCCATTATCCAAAACACTAAATTAGCTCCGATCTCTTTAATACTATCCCTCCCATCTAAAACTATATAATCATTTTTTTCTTCATAAAAATGAATTAAATTATCATAAAAACTTTCTCTTCCGTACCTTCCATCACATCCAATTAAATAAACGTATTTCAATTTAGGATAATAAGCATTTCCATCTATTAAACTCTTAAAAAACATTCGAACAGTATTTGATAATTCAAAATCGATAATGAATAGGGTTTCAATATCCTGTGTATATGTAAATAAGATATTTTCTTCATAATACCATTTATTATTAGATGACATATCTTCTAAGCATAAACCATTAACTTTTAAACGATTTTCAATATCAAACGAAACCAAAATTGAATTTTTTATCGGATCAGTCGAAAAGTTCCGAATAGAAAAATACATTAAAGATTCTCCAACACAATAAGTAACTTCAAAATCCTTCATCATAATGATAACGATGATTATCCGTAATCTATACGTAACTTGTTTTTGAAAATTCACGTTAAAGGTTCAAGGTTGAAAAAAAGAAAAAAGCGCGTGTAAGTTGTTTAAACTATAACAGATAATAAAGGTTAAAAAGCGCGTTCATTTATTACGAAATTTCCTCATCAGAAATCAGGTGACATTAAACACATCACACATCATACACAATATTACACATCACACACATCACACACACCACACATCACACACATCATACATCATAAATTCATACATCATATAATTCAAATTCTCCGAAATGTCAAAAAATGATTAAGTGAGAGACAATGGTATATCAACTTAACCATTATTATCTTATTATCTTTCAAAATCATAAAAAAGAATAATATTATAGAAATTTCTTAGAAATTTATTATAATCAACTTAATACTTATTAATGATCGGATTGTTATTACCGTAATGCAAAAAAATTTATAACATTACCAGTAAATTACCATTGTTTAAAATATATTAAAATTTTTTAAAAAAAAATTACTTAAACTAGTTAAATTAAATATTTAACATAATTAACATTAGTAATATTTATCATTAATCTCTAATACATATTTGTTTAATAGGGTTCTAATTTGGTAATTTATAAAAATTTGTTAGTACTGTTTAATTTTAACTTGCTTACGTTCACTATGATTGGTTGATAATATTAAATATTAATATTAATTATCCATTCGTTCTGGATCTTTTTTTTTTTTTT